TTACCTACGGTATGACTGTGGCTCAGATCTACGATGACGGCCAGACCTTCAGCCCCGATGTTTTGGACGTTGGCGAGGAGCAGCTGTTGTCCAGCCTTCAGTCTGCCATCCGGACCATCACCACCATATCTCTGGCCACAAACTTCCCCACCCTGCCATCTGTCATGCATTCGGTTGTCAACTCCTACAAGAACATGATTGCGATTGCGCTCGAGACGGAATACGGATGGAGCGAGATCGAAGAGCTCAAAGATCGCGTTGCCAACCCTGAGGCCTATGCTGCTGCTGCCCCTGCTGCCGAAGCTGCAAAGGGAGAAGAGACAAAGGAGGCTGCCAAGGAGGAGTCGGAGCCTGAGGAAAGCGAAGATGAAGGAGGTATGAAAATCCCCATCCGGGACTCCTGGACACTCCTTACTTGAATTTCCCACAGCACTTATACTGACTGCCGCCTCTAGGGTTTGGTGACCTTTTCGGCTAAACGCAACATTGCTTTGATTCCTACTCCGAGATATTAATGCAAATGAATGTAGCATATCTATGGCCTTTATGTCTTGCGCACTAGATCAAATGCAAAACTGCATAAAAACAATAAACAAATTGACCCAAGCTCGCCTACCAACGCGAGCTTCGAATTTGATGTGTATTTTTTTTTTGTCAAATTATATTATCCAACGCACCAATAGATCACACCAACAACGGGATCCGCGCCAGTTCCCGACTAAAGTAGTACGTACATCCAAGCATCCCCTTCCCCCCCCCCCCCTTTTTTTTGTCCAATCCACGCACATTTTCCTGGCCATATAAATGCAAGGCCCCCCTTGTCCCTGGCGAATGATTAAATCTTTTTAACCCCGATTATTCCATGAAGATCAACTAAATAGCAACAACAACACTCTAATTTTTTAATGACGCCTCGCTCTTCAACACCTTGCTTCTCGTGTCTCTGTTTTATTTGACTCCAGAAACTAATTCAAAATCAGACTGCTAGTTTTTACACTCGAATTATGTATTCTCCGCCGTCCGGATCGATTCCGCCCGATCTTTCGTAGACTCTTATTTTCTCAGTGAACGAAGCTCGTAGTTGTGTCCAAGTATTCCCGATCTTGATCCGTCTCCTCTGCTTATGCCAGAAAATTGGCAGGTGTTTATAATCTTGTGTAGGTATCCGAAAAAAGGTCTTCCATTCATGCACGAATTAAATAAAATCTTTTCGCGCTTTGAATTCAAACAAGGTCAAGCCACGCCTACTTCCCAACAGAGTTACTGGGTGTAAATTAACCGCAAGAAAATTAATGTGAAATATATTTCTTCCTCTGACTTGGCTTTGTTCCGTATGTGACCTACCAAGTTGGAGAGCTAACTGGCGAGCCGGAATTGGCAAATATGGTGGTGCAGGGTTTGTTTACATGACATGCAAAGGTGTCTCGAGTTCTGGGAACGCTATGAGGTGCATTCAGGGAGAAGGTGACAAGATATATCCAACACAGTGGTGGTTGGAATTAGCAATATATCAATAGTCCAATTTGCACCTTAGACATCACTGGTATATATAAGTACAGCTAGAGCGAGACAAGCTACGTCCTCTCCCAACCTTCAACCGACCGATTCCCTTATCGCCCACATGTATTCAGAGTAACAACATAGTCAATATATTCCCAAGAAAGATTCATTCTCTTGTTTCCCCATCTACTTTCCCCCACTTTCATCTCCACTCTTCCCGAACCGTCCACCTAGCCCACCCAAATCCCTCCGAAAGAATTTCCCAATATTTTTAAGATTCTCATTAAGGTTCGTTGACCCTAGTCCGGTACTCTCTATACCATCCCCCCGTTGTCCTAGACTGGCGCCTAAACCGACCACCGGAGTGGTCGAGCCTGGTGGGGAGTTGGCTGCGGAAATTCCGGGCCCACCGGCTCCAGGGCCACCAACAAGAGGAGTGCCCAGTCTGTCAACCCCATCTCTGGCTGCGGATATGAGTGCAGAACCGAGGCTCGAGGCATCGAATCGAGCTGGAAGAGCGCCAGTTGCGAGTGAGGAGCCGCCAACTCCGCCTAGGTTGCTCAGACCCAGGCCTTGGGATACAGTTGCCGTGGGTGCCGTGGTGGATGATGATGACGATGTCGGAGGCTGCAATTGGGTGAACAGAGGATTGCTTGGTTGTAAGTTGGATGCATGACGGTCAGAGGATTTGTGGACTTGAAACAGCTCAATGAGCTGGTTTTGTTCCTGTTTGCTTCGGATTCCTTTGACTTCAAGGATCCTACGGAAGTTTGCATCGCTTCGGTCAGCGATGTGAATGAGGTAAGCCTGCACAAGGGCTTCAGGTGGGGTGGCTCGGACTTGGAGAGTTTTCAGGAGAAAGTCGACTTTTTGGAAGGACGTGTTTAGTCGCTTGGTAAATCCGGCTGGTGGCGGGGAAAGAAGATTGGCGATGGCACTTTTTATTGTGTAAGCGTCAAGGAGCATCTGTGATGGTTGTTAGCGGGGAGAAGTTTCGTGGATAAGTTTACGAAAACATGATCCTACTTGTTCAGCACCAGTCTCTGACACGGGCTTGCACTGGAAAATATTGGCTATGTAGGTGTTTGAGAGGTGTTCCACAAAATTATCAGCAAATGCTCGCGCATATTGCTGTTTATGCAACATTTTCAGGATTTCCTCGGATTTGGATTTGGCGCTGTTCAACAGTACCGCAACAAAGGAGCTCTGGTCGCTGACGGTTTCCAATTTGTTCCACGTCGTATTCCGCATTTCTTTCCACGATGGCTCTAATTCAACCTCGACATTTCGGACCAGTCCACGCACAGCTGAACTGGCAATTCCCATAAAAGCATCGGCCTGGCTCTGTAGATCGATACTTTGCTTGAAGTTCTCCTCAATCCGACCTTTAATTTTATCTTCGAGCTGGTTGCACGTCGAGTAACAGTAATCGGCTGTGTTTAGTACTAGTATAAGGTCTTCTAAGGATGGAGTTTTGGAGGGAGTCTGCCCACTTGCGCGTTCAGTGACAAAATACAGAAGCACTTGCTGAGCATATTGATCCAGATATTTTGCAAATAGCTTCGAAAGCTCTGATAAACTAGAGCCAGTGGATAATTTGGCACACTGTGCGAGAGACTGCCGATAAAAGGTGAAAAGGTCGGTAGAAGAAGGAATAACTAGGCGGGACGTAAACTCCTCATCTGGAGGCTTTATTGGTTGTTGTCGATATTTCGGTATCAGGGCCGATAACTGCTTGTCCTGAGCTTCAATCCATACGCTAAGGTACGGCTCAAACGCTTTAGATATCGACTGGCCAAATGCGGGAGATTCGATCGATGTGAATGTATCAGAAGACGCACGAGATTGAGAGCTGAACCTCCGATCAAGGAATTGTTCGAAATCGAGGGTTTCTTGCATACAAGAAAGGAGAAGGTTAACGTCTAATGTTTGTCCACTCCGAAGTGACCGGGAGAGAATTCCTTTGAAATCTTCCCGCGTCCCCTCACAGAACACATTTGCTAAGCTTTCACCGACTTTCCAGGAAGGCGGAAATATCGACCCATGCTCTTCATCATATGTCTTTAGCATTCTTCTGAACCAAGAATATCTTCTCGAAATATTATCCAAAGATCCTGCTTCCTCATTGCCTCGAAACACTTGGCGATATTCCCTTAACTGTGTATTGCAATACCAGGTCATTAATCTTGACTTTGCCATATCCCCGAAGACTTCCATAACCAAACATCCTTCGACTAGCACACTCTTTCTCTGTGGGATCTCCCCCTTCGCAAATATAATCTCGAAATCTTCGCAAACCTGCTCGAGTAGTTCTCGTTGGATATCAGCCACGTTACGGCTCAACGTAGCAATCTGGTCGATGGATCGATAGGATTTGAAGTGTGCCATAAGTTGGATCACCGCCGCAAGTAGCTGCGCACAGTCGCGATATTGCCTCGATTTGCTCAACGCTTTCAATTGTTCGTACGCAGTAGTAAGCATTTGCAATCTCTTCAATGCCGTCATCGACAGAGTTAAGTTCTTCTTCGCATTATCCAGCTGTTTGATCTCCGCTGTCATCTCGGTGATGGCTTGTTCTGTCTTTAAAGCGCGCTCACGAACGTCATCAATCTTCTTAAATAATTCGGCCATGTCTACTTTTGCTGTTTGCACTCGCTGTACGCTTTCCGCATTGGATGCGGCTTGTCGTTCGACAAGGGAAGCAATGTCACTGTCAAGCTCATCTTGGTATGTTTGGAGCGCATCGGAGGTTCTGTACACGGATGAGAGAGCAGACGGATGGGAGAAGATGGCATTGAGGTGATCTATAGGATCGTAGTCGACTACAGAAATCATTGTCAGCTCGATATATGAGATTCCAGGAGAAATTGCGAGCTTGCCTCCATCCAGCGGATCGGGATTGGACATGCCGTTCTCAGTCATGAGGGCGATGGTGGGCGACATCCCAATGAATTGGACGTCACACCCAGCCACATAATGCGGCCCACTCTGGTAGCAGGTACCGCTATGTGTATGTCAAATTATATTAAGGACGATCGATATAAATCAGTTGTCCGCTGAGTTTTGCGATTATGGGTTGCTTACAATCGAGGTCATAAGAAATATCACGTGATGTTGTAATCGGGTCTTGTCATTGCGTTTCCGCTTGATAGACTATAAATGTAAGTTATGGTACTTTGAAATTGGTATCTAGTTCCTTAGCTTTCTATTAAGTCTCACACAATCATGCCTAGCGACTCCAGTAAGTTGGGTTTCTATTTAAGCCTCCATCAAAACAAACATCTAAAATAAACAAATGAAATCCTTTGTGTGTATCATCGTAGCCCTTTTAGGATAGAAACTTGAAGAAAGTTATAGATGAATCAGACATAGAAAGGGAAGCAAACGACAAACATCCTTAACCGTAAATTATGCCAGCTGCTGGTCCAAACAGAAATACTCTCCTCAGCAGTTGTATCCCTCGTCTATAACCACTCCTTGGAACCCCTAACGACCTCCATCTCGTTCTCCAGTAAATAATATGCGGAAACCAATAAGCACTGCTTAGGCTGATTTGAAATACCACAACCTCTGCCCATAGTTGTGCTAAAAAACGAATCCGTTGTAATTATACTCCAGGCAAAAAGGCATCCGGAGGGAGCTTTCCCTGCGCCTGCAAGGGTTATTCTTATCAGGCCAAGTCCATATTAAACGAGGTATAATACGTGGATGCGACTCACCTTCAATTCTTCGAAATTTTTCAACGCTGCTTCCATGTCCCAGTTGTTGCCAGATAAAGCCATCTCTGAATATGCTAACGTCATTTTTGTTCGGAAGCTGGTTTCCATAACAATCTGTTCTTTCCGGACCTGTTCTTCTGATTTTCCAGGTATTGGTAATCCGAACCCATCTTTTGCTTCTGGATGAACCCGTTGGTTGGTGGGGATCGGCGTCGTTATCGGATTTGGGATCTGGTTAGTGATCGGAGTCGGAATTGCTGTCTGCGTATGTAGTGGAATGGCCGAGTTCGTAGAGGGTTGTTCCGTCTCTGGAACAAACGCTTCGGATCCGCCAAATGTCCTCAAACAGAGCAGGTCGTTAAAAACTCGTAGACCGCTAACTCCACCTCCTGGCCCAAGGATGAAGGTACGATCGAAACTCCGCATTTGCGTCTTGTTTCTAGTTGTCACCTCGAATTCCTCGAATTTACCATGGACGGTTATAAGGAGACCACCAACGCCCGTGGCGCTCTGGTTGGTGGGGTCGGGAAGACCAGGGATGGGATGGCATTCTATTAGCCAATCTTGCGGGTTTGCAAGAACATCAGGATGTCTCGTTTTCGGCAATGAGTTCCACACTTCGCGGATCTTTTCAGAACCGACAAAGGTACGAGCCACTCGCGCAGGAAAATAGTTAACCCTCAGAAGATTTCTGCTTTTCTTGATGTACGAATCCCATCCTGAAACATTATTTGCTCGCACGCCTCGTGGAGCCATGAAACTTACGCTTAGAGAAAATGTCGACTTGCCGTCATATATTCCATTTACTAGGTCGTTCCGATCGTTGTCGAATCCGGTGAAAAAAGCTTTCACGAAATTTTCACCAATCTGGGATTCATCTTGAAAACTAGCAGGTTGAATCGGGATCGGGTTTTTCCGCTGGACAGCTATTTCTTCCGCCGTCCGGACCGTTATATTATTTAGCGTCCTGAGTCTGGGATACCATTTGAGCATAGTTTCTTTGAAATTTGCTTCGGAACTGATTGGGTTTCCGGTAAGATCGAGAAATTCAAGTTCTCTAAATTTCCACCTCCATGCAAGTAGTGATTGGATATCCTTGAGTTGATTGTTCGATAAATCGAGATTTTTGAGAGCTGGGAATGTTTGCGACAGCGTGGTAACGGAGGAAACATTAAGAAGTTTATTCTGAGCCAGGGTAACACTCTGGAAAAGCTCTCTTCGTTTGTCCGGAGAATCGAATGTAAGTTCGCATATTTTCATGAGAGCTGGAAAAAATTTAGATTCTGTCGAAGTGGTGTTGAACATGCCCATGGCAAGAAGATCTGGATCAGTGCCAAGCTGTGAAAGGTTTAAGAGCTTCCCTGACTCAGAGTATCTCTTCTTCAAAAATTCCGTCATTCTAACCTTTGTATCGAGCGCGGTTTGCGACAGTGGTTGCTTTTCTGTATTGTTGGCATCGGGATTGCGGTATTCTTCAATAGTAAGTTTCTCGCCCGCAAAGCTAGTACCATTGATCTGTAAAATACATGCCACCAGTTCCGGACGAAGTGATATAATTAGAGCATCCCCTTCGACTCGTGACTAGTTAACGTTAGCAAGGTTTAATAACCTTGAAACCGGAGGTATCCAACGGTTGTACGACATATTTAGACGATGTCTCAATCGTCGATCTGGAGTATTCGGCGCGAGAGTGTAAACAGCCCAGGGAGGGTGTTTCTGCGAATACGTCGGTGACCGCTAGAATGTGATGTTGCACATACCTTGGAAATTTTAAATCGTGAATGGGCCGCAGTACCTTGCTTTTTGGGGGGTTGAGCTTTTCTTTCGAGGAACATGACGAGGCTTTCAAGACCGCCATCGGGATTAGAAGCCGCTCTGCTACGCTTCCATCCGCGCACGATCACTTGAACCAACCCTTTGCTCTGAGTCTGTGGGCGACCATGTCCAACATTCGCCTGAGAAGATACGTTGCTGAAGATAGCCTTTTCCAGTGCATCCAAGGTTTTTTCTTTGTTGGCTAGCCTTCCAGGTTCCCTCCCTTGGTTCAACCCCCCAACTCTTGGAGCAGTCCAGCGCCCAGGGTCGCTACGCCCACGACCTCTTGTCCCGCGTGCTCTTCCAGACGCAGCACCGTCCATATCCAGGTCACCATCCCGATCGGTCCGGGGAGGGGCCCCTCGTTTGCGGATGCCTCCGCGATCTGGTGTTCCGGTACGGCTACGGGGCCCTTTGGAGGTTTTTGAGCTATTCATTGTGTAAAGGCTGCAGTGTGTCGAGCAGTGTTGTGGAGAGGGAAGAATACGAGGAGGGGTGCCCCTCGAAGGAGGCAGACAGCATGCGATGACAAAAGAGGAGCGGTAATGGTTTTCAAGAGAGAGGGTCCAAGTTCAAGGGAAAGCTAATGTTGAGAGAAAATAACTATCTGTTAACGCTAGGGTGTAGATGGGTCGAATATGGCGATTTAACAAACAGGGAGCGAGGAGATTTGCTCTGTCAAAGAGGTTCAAATGTCGCCCTTGCTGATACATTTAAGCTCAATCACGTGATGAAGCAAATCTGAAGAAAGTGGCAACTATATCTGGCCAATCAACTGATGCCTTCACTCCAAGGTGGCCTTTCACTTCTTTGCTTTTCACGGTTGGTATGCGGGATTCTGGCGCTCGTTGGAGCCTGTCGAACGTGCGAAGCTTAATATACTTCGGGATATACCTCTTGAGACTACTAGATCACGACCTGCTCCCTCGAGTGCTTATAATCCCACAGATCCCGATACAATGCCTCCCAAGTCACGATTTGCGCGGCTAGACGCTTTCACAAAAACTGTCGAGGATGCGCGGATACGTACTAGATCAGGGGGCGTTGTCACAATAAGTGCACTTTTCGTTATCTTCTTCCTAATATGGGGTGAATGGTCAGAATATAGACGAATAGTGGTGTTGCCAGAGTTGGTTGTTGATAAGGGGAGAGGTATGTTACCTTCCGTGGAAGAAGTCTGTGCAGAGCTAAACCTTTCATATTAGGGGAGAGAATGGAAATCCACTTAAACGTGACTTTCCCAAATCTACCTTGTGAGCTCCTCACTTTAGATGTCATGGATATTTCCGGCGAGTATCAGACAGGGGTCATCCACGGTGTCAACAAAGTACGCCTCAGTTCAGTTGAGGAAGGAGGCCGGGTCCTCGATATTACTGCTCTTCAATTGTGAGTACATGTCTCCTGTGTCTGGTTCGTGAATCTAAAATTACATGCTAATAAGATACACCATGTAGGCACTCTCAAACAAACAAGGGAACGGATGTCGACCCAGATTACTGCGGTCAGTGTTACGGAGCAACCCCGCCATCCAATGCGAAAAAGCCTGGGTGCTGTAATACATGCGAGGAAGTTAGAGATGCATATGCAGCGAAAGGCTGGGCCTTCGGACGGGGAGAAAATGTCGAGCAATGCGAGAAAGAAGGATATAGCGCCAACCTAGATGCTCAGAGAAAGGAAGGGTGCCGCGTTGAAGGAGTGATCCGCGTTAACAAAGTTGTCGGTAACTTCCATATTGCACCTGGTCGCAGCTTCACAAACGGCAACCTTCACGCCCACGACCTTGACAATTACTATCATACACCTGTACAGCATAATATGGGCCATAGAATCCATTACTTGCGCTTCGGACCCCAACTACCCGAACAGCTTTCCAGCCGCTGGAAATGGACTGACAATCATCATACTAATCCACTGGACAATACTGAACAACATACGACTAATCCCAGATTTAACTTCATGTACTTCGTAAAAGTGGTGTCTACAAGTTACCTACCGCTTGGATGGGATCCCGACGCGTCCAGTTCAGCACACTCTCAGTACTCCAAGAACGCACCCCTGGGGAAACAAGGCCTCAGTTTTGGCTCATACGGAAGCATTGAAACGCACCAGTACTCGGTCACTTCGCACAAACGGTCGGTGGACGGCGGCGATGACTCGGCAGAGGGTCACAAAGAGCGCTTGCATTCACAAGGCGGTATCCCCGGTGTGTTTGTCAACTACGACATTTCGCCCATGAAGGTGATCAACCGCGAAGCACGAACCAAGACCTTCTCCGGCTTCCTGACTGGCGTGTGTGCAGTTATTGGAGGAACTCTAACGGTTGCCGCAGCTATTGATAGGGTTCTGTATGAGGGCGCTGTACGGGTGAAGAAGCTACATAAGAGCTGATTTGGTTCCTCTTCTAGTCCCTCTTTTTTTGGGGGTGAGCGGGTTGGATGAAATAATGACCCTATTCAATTTTCCCAGATATCCGCCTTGTTTCCCTCTCTTGAGTCGACAAATCTCGTTTATATCCTCAGATTTTCCTCGTTTCCCAGTTTATGCTGCATTGATGTTCCATCTACTTTTGATTCTTTGGCAAGATTTAGGCATTCTTGACCGTACTGTGGAAAGGCAGATGCAGGTGAACTGAATAGGAGGGAAAAGCAAGTGGGGATGGTGGGAAGCCGTCAAGCCGTTTGCACCTTTTCCTCAAACTTGCCCCATCCAACTCAATCCAACCAACCCAACCAAATTTTCACGATAGAGGTCTCATAGTGGCGATGTAAAAACACCGGCGTTTGTGTTTTCCAGGTTGTCTCCCTAAGGCGTTTCTCGTTTTCGTTTCGGCTCCAACTTGTCCTTGTCCTTGTGCTTGTGCTTGTGCTTGTCGTCTTCCTTTTCCTTTTTTATTATTTTTTTTTTCTTTTTCCAAACACCATTTTTCAATAGATTGCTTTCGGGACTGGTAAAGTTTATTACAAACCCCCATTTTCAATAGTTATCATTTCTGCTCCCTTTCACTTTTTCTCTCCATGCGCGCCACAAGTGTGCCAGAGAATCGAATGGTCTCCTGAGTTAAATTTTATCTGCATTTAGCTGTATTTTAAATCTTTTGGAAACATCATTGTGATTAGCCACAATATGGCTGGCTGGTGTGGGAAATACTATTATTCACTGTTATTGATAATAGTTACTTGAAAAAAAAAAAAAAGAAAAAAGAAAAAGTAAAAAAAAACTGATAGGCGTTTCTTGCTATTTTTATTTCATGCCATTTTATAGATGGACTGATTTATGTGTATGCCTACTCACTCCCATCCAATACTCACTTGCCTCTCTTTCGTATTCAAGATATATTGCACAACATTTTTAAATAAAAACCAACTATAGAATGGTAAGAGGGAGCAAAAATACAGAAATATTCTATCTATCTAGCGCTCTATTATCATGAAAAGGGAAAAAGGAGGAGGAGGAGGAGGAGGAGAAAACAAGAGAAAATAAAGAAAAATAAAATGAGAATCAAAAGAGAAGCCGAAGAAAGAAAAAAAGAAGAAAGAAGAAAAGCAGAATATGAAATGGAACTTTTTTAAGTTTTAAAACACACATTCTTTTAGTACATGCTAGGGTTGACTCGTTCAAGCAAGGACTGGGGAATGCTTAGATCGTTTCGTTTTTGTCTTTCTTCACACTTGTAGGACCCCCGTGGGTGGTTGGAGTTATGGCCTGTTCCGCAGGCTATGGATAATGTAGGTCAAAGAGAACATGAACGAAGTTTTGAATGGAGATAAAAACAAGTAGGCCTAATGAATGTTTGTCCAGCGAAGAATTGGAGTCAAGAGTGTTTGAGGAAGAACTAGGCCAGGAGAGTGTAAACGGCCTGAGTGAAATTAATACGGATATCTAAAGACCTTGGCTTCGTGTAGGTATGCGTGTGTTAGGTGGCGGACTATAAGTGGTAGAGCTACCTGGTTAGGAATTGGCAAAGTACGACAAAAGGAGGAGATGAAACGCGGTGGTGAATGCGACGGACTAAATATGAAAGGCAGACGAAACTAATGCGAGGGTACAAAGGAAAACGGAAAGCAAAAATATGCTGTGCAGGGTTGATGATGTACGAAATATCATGAAGGGAAAACGAAGTGGAAGAGCAGACAGATGAAAAAGGGAAAGATACGGCGAGACAGGATGAAATGCAAATGAAAGCACACGCTACATAATGGAGATGCAGTCAGCGATTGTACGCAGGCAAAACATTTAGCAAAAACAAATGAAACAACACACGCCATGGATAGAAAATAAAAAAACAAGGTCCTCAGAAAGAGGGGAGAGCGATGAGGAAAACGAAAAGGGAGTCCGAGAAAAGAGCTCGAAAGGTGAATACTAAAAAAGAAACGAAGCATAATAGTCCAAGCTGTCATTCCCATAAGTAGAAAAAAGTTCTCATCACATATATATATAAAAATATATACAGTAGTTCATAGATAACTTTTCTCTCGATTTTTGTTGTCTCCTACAACTCATTTGGTTTGAAACTGGTAGTGGTATTGGGCTCCCGGACCCTCGTTATGATGATGGTTGTTGGTAATAAGGATTTGGTCGATATCCTGCTGGAGTTGTTGTCATGGGCGGCTGCTGCTGCTGTGGCGAGCGAAATTGCTGGTTACTTGACCAAGATGGCTGGCGTTGGCGTTGGTATTGTTGTTGTTGACTTGCTGATTGTTGCTGGTGTGGGTTAATGGAGCCATAGCCGCCAACCATGCCATTCGAGCTGTTATATCGGTAATGTTGTGGTGGAAAATGTGAACCTACTGTGTGCTGTGCTGGCTGGAAGTGCGTCTGTAAGGATTGGCGTTGTGCGATAGCTTGTTGGACCATTGCGCTGCTAAAACCCTCCTTTATAGCCTTTTTGTCGCGTTCTCTAGCATCTATCGCGCTTACGAGGCCTGCGCCGTGAATTTGGTCTTCGCTTTGCTTTTCGCTGGAGACGTTGAAGAAAGAAGACCCAGTCATTCGCGCTACATATTCTTGCTCCCGTGCAGAAAGGTGGGTGGAGATGTCATTACACCCAAGCATAACACTTGCTCCACGAGAGTGCGGGCGAGGAATCATTTCTCGCATCATTGATTGGGGTCGTGCTGTATTGGTCCGATCACCAGGTGATGTTTTGACTGGTGTGCTTCCGGTTCCGGTGTTACCCAACATTACACTAGCACCTCGCGAGTGCGGGCGCGCAGGCATGTCCTGCGCCATTGGTTGTTGGCGCTGGTAGTTTGTCCAATCGCCAGATGCTGGTCGAGGTTGGATAATAACAGATGGGAAACGGTGGTGAGAGGTGAGCCGATTCGCGTCCACCTTCCGCTGAACAAACTCTTCAGGCGTGATATGGGGCCCAGGGCTCGCTGGCCCACTCACCATTCCGGGTTGCCAGATCATACTTCGCTGGTGTTCATCGCTGGATGGAGTCTTACTGTCACTACCGTGGCTTGTTTCCCTTGAAGACCCTCGCCTTTCGCGTCCAATGGTAGTATATGAAGGAATCCGCTTGTGAGTTAACAGAGCTTGTGTATCTGCGGTGCTAGGTCGCCTGGTCGTGGGCATATAAACTTGTGTTGGCCCAAAATCAACAGTGGGAATATCTGGATTGTCTTGACGAGGGGCAAGAGGGTCAGAGCGTCGGTAACGGACATCGCCAATTATCACTTCCGAATTGTTTAGATCGTCAGTCCCAACAACCTTCAACACTCCCATCCTTGGCTGTGGTACGGGATTGTCTAACGGCCTTGAGGGCGAGGGCTCACGAGAGCTGGCATAGCGAGGCGAGGACGTTGAATTCTGGTCATACATGCTTTCTTCATCCTGGACATTGTCGGTTCGTAATTTTGGGGACCGTCCTCGAGCAACGATTTTGTCTAACGCATCGACGTCAATCGCGTGGCTCATGCTATCTAGGCTCGAAGATTTGTCGGAAACCCGGCTTTCACCATCATATGAAGATTGGAGAATCGGCTTTCGGGAGGCTGCTTTTTGGATATCGAGTTTAAGGAAGTTCGCTACGGAACTTCGATCCTCATAGTAATTGGGACGCGAGGGGAGTTGGGTTGGGTCATCCACTGCTGGAGCCTGGGGATTTTGGGAATATGGCTTTGGGGTTCTAAGTGTTACTGGGCTTTGAGGCGAAAAACTCATGTCAGTAGAACTTTCCTCCCCGCTACCAGCATTCTGCACGTCCCCTCGCTGACCTTGATCATCCGGCTGTCTGGCCGGCATTTTCCCATTCCACCCTGCTGCTTCGCCAGCGGTAGCCAAGTTCCTTCGCATATTTATATCTACCATCTGGCTCAAAGTTCCCTGTGATATCCGGTTTCCTGCCTTGTGAAGGTCCGGTGACGGTTGAGGCCTCACAAGGGGCGCTCTTCGAGTGTCATGGACGAAAGCCGGCGGGATGGCTACAGGTGCAGGAGGCAGGCTTTGTTGATATCCATTATCAAGCGACTGGCGTTCTTGGGTCAGGTAGTCGTTGACGTCGCTATTGGAACCACCCTTTAGAGCATATCCGTCTGGACTAGATACCCCATCATACTGGGAGCTCCTATGCATTGGAGGTTCCGGTGCTTGCTCAGCCTCCTCAGACAAGCTTTTTTCGCCGGATGATAGGGAGGGAGGGGTTCCCTGTCCGGGGTAATTTCTATATCCCACCGAATTGCGATCTGGATGAACTCCGGCTTTTAGAAAGCTTAAGCTCCCATCGCTAGAGCGATTAGGTTCTGATCTCCCAGTGAATGAAGGTGGCGCTGTACCGTTCGCAAACCGCAATGGTGTGCTGTTGCGCGAAGGGGCGTTGTTCCGATTAAAGCGCCCACTTCCTGCAATGCTACTCTCTCGGCTATTGCTATTCATCATTCGTTTGGCGGTGGCACTCTTCAGCGCCTTCCGCCATTCCCGCTCGGTCCAGTTATTGCTTCCTTCAGTATGTATCAGGGCAGCCACATCGAGAATATCAAGATATCCAGGTTGTCGTCGCGTTGGGAGCGCAAACATTATACTGTGAGTATTCTGGGTATCTGCAATAAGTTTTGTGGGTCGGCCGTAGAGACCAAACGTATCAAAAACCGGAAACAACCAACGAAGCATCATTTCGAAACCAGATATCGCGGGATGTAACTCAGGCAGAACAAAAATAAATCCGTCTGTAGTTGATTCAACTTTGCTGTGCATCGTTATTCGGCCTTCTACCTTAACCAGCGTGGATTGGTCAATTAGCGGTCGAGATTGGGGGTAAATGGCAAATGCGGAGAATGCATCCGTGACGGTAGCGATAGGCTTGACCTTTTTGGTCTTTTTCGTTTCGTAGAATTTAATGTTTCCCTTCAATGAAGGAGCGCTCCGTTCGTAGACTGACTTCCTCTTCTGCTCCTTTTTCAATCTTTGAAACTCCTTTTCATCAGGTGGTGAGATCACACACCAGCATCGTCTCCAAGGGGTTCCGGGACCAAACCTGACGCGCGCCCAGTCTTCATACACGAATTTCGTTTTTTCTAGGATATTCTTAATGCCATTCAGAGTTTTCCCCTTGCCTGCGATAAGCGCGCCAGTATAGGATTCTTGCAATATGGTATTTTCAAACATTGCTATGCGGATAGCGGCAGTCCACTGAGTCAGTGAATGTAGCGACGAGAAATGGAGGAGATATCGGTTCTTTCCAGCAGTCGATATGCTAAGAATATTTTGGAGAGGCTTGCCGCCTTCATTCCGCGTGGGCAGGGTTTCAATCTGGTCTCAACATCAGTTTTCCGCACCCTTACTTATTTTATGTATGGTTTTATTAATAATAATATTATTATTATTTGTTTTTTTTTTTTTTTTTTTTTTTTTTTTAGCAAAGCAGGCAACATCAATGCAGCGCACTGAAGTTTGAAGAAGCAACAAAAGGGAATATACCATTTTGATTGAAGCATCAGCCAGGTTGATGAAGCTAGGTGTCGCATTTCCCTCAGGACCAGCTGCGTCCAGCGCTGATGAGTCCCATATCGAAAGGACAGTGCCAACTAATTGAGCAAAGCAATCCACCCATTGCCTATCTTGAAACGATCGACCACCTACACCAGGAGACTAATTAGACGTCCATGACCTTGCCAACACTTCCGAAAAGAAAAGGGGAATAGACGGATGGACGTACTGGTATCTAAATCGTTTAGTTTTAAAAAATAGCCCTCCTGGTAGAGCTTGTTTGCCTGGCTGCTCAGATAGTTCAAAACAGGCTCTAGCTCTGGGATGGCTTCGGATGTCGCGTCCATGATGGGCGATTGCGGTTGCGGGTGAGCTGAAACTGGCCTTGAACCCATCCGGTCTGATTTTTTTAATCTATGTGACGCAGAATCTGCGGCAGTAGGCGAGTGGACTGCGCCTCGGGGAAAAGGGTCGGTATTATGCCGGTGGTGCGAGAAGGGAGTTGGAGAAGCGGGTGAGGTGGTGGAGGCTGATGCAAAGGACGACCCATCACGCTTTGAGTTGCCTTTACTGGCCGTGAGGAACGAGAAGACTACGGCATCACATGGAGATTTTAGCAATCTGGCAAGTCATGCGGTTTCTTTGCAGTGGGCGAGAACTAGGAGGGGAGGACATGACAGAGAGAGAGAGAGAGAATGCAAGGAATTCTTCCATCAACACCTACCATCACGGATGCCCATATTTTCGGTCGACAAGAGTAACCTAAGTCAACCAGGGCTTGTGAGACGCCAGAGGGCAGAGCAGCTGTGCAACAGGGTGGATAAACAATTTATATGTATTCCCCAAACAATATAGGGCTCCGTCTTTGGTGCAGTACTGTTTTGACGCGAGGGGAAGTTTGTCCACCGCTGCAGCGACGGCGCTACACGGAAACTGCCACCGGAATAGAGGATGCCGCGGATAGCGAGGAGGGGAAATGGGGGTTGGGGAGGGGTGAGTGTGATGGTGGTGATGTCAGGCGGGTAAAAGTCACCCGTCAATTCCAATCCATCGGGGAGTGCAATAGTATAATATCACCCATCGCGAATGGCAGTAAAAGGAAGGGAGAGAAGACAAGGGTCGGGGGATAGGAAGGATGAGAAAAGAGAACAGCAGAAAGATTGGGTAGTGTTGGGTGGGAATTTGAGGAGAGGATTGAGAGAAGAAGTTAATCGCCAACAACTGCGTGTGGCGAGGAAGCGATGATGTTGGTCCAAGCTAAAAATTTATTTGCGCCGCCTGATAAACCCACGACGTATGCAGAGCACAAATTAACAGAAAATCCTGTCCGGACGGCTTTGTCCGCAAGAGACAAGTCCTGCCCTGTGTGTTCCAGCTATATTTAACTCGAGAGAACACCACCCGCTTTGTACGGGACAGACGACTAATTCTCAACACTACGCAGCACTGCGCATCATCCCCTCGTCTGCTGAAGGTGAGCATGCAGCAGAACTCCCTTCTGTTTCAAAGAGTCTCTCCTTCTCCGCCATTATTTGTCTCCAATTGTTTCGCATATGGATACCTGGCATCAATCTCACAGTTTTTCGCCTGCTAAGGCCCAATGTCTCAGTTTTAGGAGCTTGTCAAAATTTCCCCCTGTTTCTTTTGTTTCTCCGTAACCATCCATACCTTCCATTCCTACTGATAATACGCTTCTTGAAGACTTGAAGACGTTCCCAACAAGATTCTATGCCGAATCAGGAGAGGTCGTCATAAACAGCACAGAACCACAGAAAAGCCAAAGGGAAAAAAAAAAAGAAAAAAAAAAAAAAAAAAAAAAAGGAAAACCGCTTCAGAGGTTCTGGCCAGGATCTTCGCTGGGCTCAAGCCACACTACGAATGCAAAAGGGCACGCTAAGTTGATTTTGTGAAATCGGCGTGGTGGGTTCGTTATCCGATGAGTACACGTTCACATCGAACCAGCAAGAACCGAGCCTTCTCGGCCATGCGTACCACCACCTAGAAGATCAATCGAAATAATTGGGTCGAAGCCCGGCCTGTCATAACTGATGCGACTGCCAACTGCCAACTGCCAACTGTCACTCTTGACTGGCAGGCAAACTGCCGCCAAGCAACAGGCGTCGTCTGCGCCTTAGGAAGCGCGGCTGCCAAGGAACGCCCAGCGGTTACATCAGACACAGGTCAGATCGTTGGCTCTGCCGCTTTTCTCGAAGGCTCCCGGAAAGCGGACGGAGCATTTGACTTTCTCAGGCCGCTCTTTTTTGACCTGTTTTGGGTAGTTGGTGTGTCTTTTTTCCCCTCAGGTGGCGGTTGGAGGAAGCTTTTGTTACGGAGGTTTGTGCTTCACAGCTGTCATACACTTTTCCAGCTTGTTCCTTGGTTTTTCGTGCTTTTTGTTGTCGGCCCATCATCCCAAAAAGGATGCGGAAGCCCTGGGAAGTTTATCTGTGAAGACTTGATCGCCAAGCATAAAGTTGGCAGCCAAAACTCAGTTACTAATCAGCCACGTATTAGTTAGTTATTTTCAATTTGCCCACCGTAAAGCTAGCGGCGGGTGAGTACTCGGATGAGGCTTACATAGTACTACGTAAAAATAAAGCAAATTAACTAGTTATTTAATTTCTAATTTTTTAAAAAAAAAAATCACCTGAAGCTGATGCGCCAAGAGTTCTTTGGCCAAAAAGTCGCTTGCTGACGAGTTTATATGGTCAACTTAGATACCCTACAATGACTCCTCTGAATGCTCTTGAAGAAGTGGTTTACGCAGGGCATTGATCAGACCCTTCACGCCCCCTACCTTACCCTTACCCTTATCCCTAACTCCGTGCTGGGGCTGTGTTTTTGGTTTTAAAAGTGGGGACCATTACCCGGATGAGCACCACCACCCACTGTTGAACCGTCAATTGTCTCATCTGGCTGGTAAGTGCCTGGCTCCTTTTCATGATAGGCGAAGTACGCCATAACTTGTCTTTGATATCCCCAGGCTACTCATGAGTTTTTATACCAGCCAATTAGCGGACTTCCAGTCTCAGCTCCTATCAAAAACCACTGGCATCGGGGGTTATTGCAACTATCCTGGGACATATTTATTGTAAACAGAAAGCATATGCATGGCCTAGTCGATTTTCTCCCAATAACTCCTTCATCTTGTTTGCCTGCGCGGTGCTGGGCAACAGATACGGACTGGCTGCGAGACAGACAGCCAAACCACCGCTTTCGGGGGCTTTGTCCTGCAGTACCCCCGTTGCTGGAGACGGGCCTGCGGGAGGAATTACTGTTCGTCCAGTCCCCGTGGTGACTTTCTGAAAGAACGACATGACAGCAGATACATGCATGGCACTCCCTGGCCCAGGTCTTTGGGGGATTTCTTTTTTTTGTTTATGTCGAAGATATTGGATATATAGTCACTCCCTGAGATGAGGCATATGTGCAATTCTCCATGGCAGTGGCAATATTCACCTGCTACCTGGGTACATAAGTACTTTGGTAAATCTTTTGAAGGATTGGATAGGCAGGCTCAGCAGCCGCAAATCAGTTTCTGTGTGGTTCACACATTCTGTTTGTTGCCTCCTGTAATCTTTATTATCCGCCCTTCCTAGCCCAAGGAGCTGGAAATATGTATGGAGTACCTGAATGGCACTCTTTTGGAAACACAGATGTTTCTTGGATGTCAGAAAGCGAAGATAAACTTGTACAAGCTTACTTCTCTTTGCCTTGTTTTTATTTAATACCTTGTTGGATGCAATGCCTCCATCTGGTATATGAGGATAACCCTTTCATACACACCATGTCTCTTTCTTCTCAGAATTGCGCAATCAATATTGAGGTCCCAACATTGTCTTTAGAAGTGAATGTGATGTGTTCTCTATCCATTTTTGTGGTTGAGGGTTTCAAATGACTGTCAATTCACTCACTGGTGTGATTTATAAGAGATGACTGTGCTTGTGTTTGTTTTGTTCTTCCATTTTTAACACACTCAAGTCTCCATGTTTGTATATCTGTGGAGTCCTTTCTCAAGTGAATCACATTGTCTCTTCTATGCCACACTTCGGCACTTCTCAGTGTCATTAACTCTCATTATTTGTCAAGTCCAGAGATTTTGCTCTCACTACTCAACTCATCTGGTTTCCTTTATCATAGTATTCTCCTTCCATCTCATATCTAGACATAGTGCATGCCCTTCTTTGTTCTTCAAGGGGACAACACACTGTATTGGCTAGATATATTTTCCATTTGTCAAGTTATCAGCAGAACAAACCGCAGCAATGTCCAGTATCTTCAATGGAGCGGAAGTCCCCTTCCAGAACCCGCCTCCCGGCTTATCCAGGCCCTTTCATAGAGATATGTATTTGCTGGTTGAGCCTCTTACACCGCTTCCTGACCCTCCTTCAAGAAGCACTCTTGAATACAGCATCAAAGAACCTGCCAAGCTATCCCCTTACAAGCTGCCTCCTGGCGAAGAGGATTTTGCCCTAGTCTTCAGCACTGGTGATACTCCACCCCTCTCGGAAGCTGAAACTGAGGAAGATATCGAAAAAGCCTACTTTGCACGTCTGGAGCAGGAAATCAAAAGGTTTGGACGCGACTTTAATCCCAAGGCGTGGATGGCTCATGTGCCCGCCATGACGGAGGTACTCGTGAAGGGTGCTACCCCTGGAACATTCAAGCATTTCCTCATGTTGCTCCTAGAACCAGACGAAACTTTCGCAAAAGCCCAGCATAGTGTCCAGACTTGGCTCAATGAGAGATATCCTGGTCGTGTTGTCGACGATATCCCCAAGCGTGGACCCTACGCGTTGTGGGCCACAGATAAACAATTGTTGCTGGGTGAGATTGAGCTTCTTCGTAAGCTTGTCCAGCCTTTGCGAGAAGCGGGCAAAGCTATCCATTGGCTGGAAAAGAACCCTTGCAGGAATATCTTTACGATGAAGTCGCTGAAGAAAGCTTACAAGATTATTGCGGAGTTTGAGAACGAGACTACCAGCAGGACTATCCTCAATGAAGAAGGCAAGCTATCTCTCCCTCTCAATTGATAGTAATTTCACTCCCTGCGGTTGCTAATTGAGGTGAGTAGAGGACTTCTCTCTCCCGAGCATCACAGGTGATTTTAGGGTGACTATGATGAGCATGAGAATGGCTAGGATGGACGTATGCAAGGAATCACTCTCCAAGATGCCTCCTCCTAAAATCCCGAAATCCAATGACCCAACAACCTTCCCTGCCGCCCAACGACAGTTGCACAAATATAGGAATGATGATTCCCAGCAGGATGGCATAGAACATATCGACGAAGCAAAGCCACCACCGCTTTCGCCTCAGTCCTCGTCGGACTTGCTCAAGTACAGACTTGAGGCCGCCAAATGTACAGGAACTATGGACGATGTGATCGAAACGATGATGAATATCGCCCGGTGGCTAGCAAAGGCTCGCTGCACTGAATCCGTCGACCTCTTCTGCGACGTTGCCAGGATGTTCTCCCCCCGCGACCCTCCAGCAAATCTATCAGATGGGAAATACTCCCTTATTCGCGCCCTGTGCGATGTAATGTTCGACATCGACGACATTGGAAGTGAATCATCCTCTTCCGCAGACTTGGATTTCGATGGCGAGGACAGCCTTGACACAATCAATCGGGAATACTTCGTTGATGTCGCTGCATCGCGTCGTTCCCTGATGGCGGATCTACAACTCCGAATGGCAGAGGATAAGCCCATTGCCCCAGCCCATATGCATGGTCACCGCCTCAGCTCACATGGGTCAATTCGTCGGGGCGCGAATGGGAAAAGGATGCTCAATAAACGCGCTAGGTCAGAAATGGTATTGCCCAAGTATATCGCACAGAGTTACGAGGATCCTTTTCCCGCTGACCCCAGCAACTGGGCCGCGAACAACACCTCGCCGTTTGCTGAGGCCTTCCAGGAAGAGCTAGACCGGGAGAAGGTGCGTCGTGCTTATCAGCGACTCAAGGTGATATGCGAGGAGGGTATTAAAGCCCGTTCTCGTGCTGTTCCCCCCAAGGAGGTTGTGGTCGCTCAGGTCGCTCAGGTCCCGCCGGCGAAAGAAAGTGTGGTTAGTCTATTTCCCATTCCAACAACTATCTGCTTCTCTCCTCTTTTTCTTTTACCTTCGTGGAGCTCGATCTAAAGAACACGGGATTTTTTAGACTCCCTTAAAACAGAAACGCCGTAGCTTAAGCGTTAATTGTACTGGAAAACAAGCTGCAGCAATGATCCTGGAGGCGCTGATGAAGAGTAGACATGAAGACCCCGTGCCTGATGTCCAAGAGAAAGAGAAACCCATTGTTATTGAGAGAAAGCCTATGGCTGATGAGCAGGTTGACAATGAGGTAAGTCATACTCCATTCAAGCTTCATTAGTTTACCGAAAGGGTTTATTCGTTTATTTTCATTTTTTGTTATTATCTTCTAACTAACGTACTACACCTCTGCTCCGTTTCCTACTAGAAACTGCATGAATGGAGCAGCTTCTAGCTCAGCCCTTCCCAAACTGGCCCACATCTTCTTCTTTCAGGTTAAGAATTGACTTTGCAATTTGAATCAAAGTTCCACATAGAACTCCCTATAGTGAGCAAAGCCAGTAGGGACCCGTTTTTCCATTAATTCCTTCAGGTTATTCAAAAACCCGAAATTATTTACAGAGGAGCAGGTGAAAGGCAATAAAGAAGAAACAAAACGTTTCTTCAATCAGATCATGAGAGCGGAACATATATAAGCATGTGGCTTATGTATGCAGCCTCATGATTATTTATTGCTTTCAGTTCCTTGTTTGTTGCTCTCTCCTTTTCTCCTCCTTTTCATTTTCTCCACCTTTGCCGCCGTGAACTTAGGTATTGTCCCATACTCCAAGAGTTATCAGTTTTTCCCATTGACGTTTGTGATTTCTTTAATTTTTCTTTTCTCTCTTCTTCTAATTTCTTTCTTTTTTCTATCTTCTTTATTTCTTCATCTAGCAATCATCTCCGTTGACAACAATCCAAGGGTCAACCTTCCAACGGCCATGGTATAAACTTCTACCAAGGAGTTCCACAGGATAAATGGAATTCGAACAACACTCGCCTTGGACACGGAGAAGGACCAACTGACGATGTTTTTAGTCGCATTTTGCTCACGGACAAATCGCAGCTTACTCAGGGAACCTTTTTTTTTTTTTTTTGATCTTTTTGTTTTGTTTTTTTTTTTTTCAGTTACTCTGGCATCTAATTTTTCCCACTTCCTTGTTGATGCAATTTTGAACCGGGAATCTTTTTATTTTGTTTTTTGTTTTCTTTTCTTTTCTGGCCCTGATGGATTTTAATAATGATTTTCAGTCCTTTACTTGACATTTACTTCCCGCTCTTCTACGCTCGCTGGAAAAAACGGGACAGAGGAGAAGGTTGGGCAGCAATCGGTTTTTCATATGAAGGGGGTTTGGTGGTTTGATAGTTTGCGAAGTATCTGCTCTGCTTGTACTTGCTGCTGGGTTTCTGGGGTAATTTTCATCTCTGTTCTTGGTTTCTGCCTCTTTTTGCGTCCCACTTTTGCCTCCCACTCTTCTATAATTGTACAAGGAGCAATATGGTGTGTGGTGTTGTGCTTCACTGGATTTGAAAAAGCAGAACGTTACTGAGGATGTGAAGCAGGGGCTATGCAACTTTCTTTGGCGATAGTAATAGATAGATAGATAAAAAATAATTTAAAAAAAATTTTGCTTTTGCAATATGGCCCTCATTATTCAACCTTTTGTCATTATGTATATAACCCCACAAATATATATTAATAGTTTTCAGTCACATTTCTGATTCATGAAGTTTTAGATAATGAAGAAAGCTGCATATGACATCAACAACTATCACCACATGGTGGATGGTTGGTCACCGCTACCATCTCATCCATCCTTTGCTTGTTGCCCCTGAGTAAATGTCAAGACGGGGTCGATCAAAGCCATGTCAGTATCCCCACCATTATCAGCTGAAGAAACACCAGTATCAATGGTACAATCCACCATCGCAAGTTCGTCATGAACTAACATCTGTCCTTTACCAACTAATGATTGTTGAACACCTGCATTCTGCGGACGGATATCATCGCCGTTCCCACCGTCAGCGGGAGCATACCTATATCCATACCCAAGCTTCGTCAGACTATCAAAGTCGAGAGCAAAGCTCTGCTCCCCACCTTGCATAGCGCGCTGCATGAACAGGATTTGAATATCGTTTTCCTCCAAACTGTGCTTCGAGGCCATGTGCAGCCACAAGTCATAGTCTCGATAGAAGCGATGCGCACACTGCTCCAGCAGACATGGGATGTGCCGGCCAGATTCCGCCTCGTAGCCTTCACCAGTCAGCATGGAGAGATTCGAAGGTGCTGCTGGGCGGCTACTCTGATTTTTAGATTTATCTTTCGGCCGTGAATGGGAACTGTACCCGCTACTGTTACTGCTGGAGCCGTTAAGGCCAAGGAGTTCCCTTCGCTCTGCTTTCGCATTTTTCAAACCCAAATGCGCTGTGCGCACATGCTCTTCGAGGGCAAGCTTGCTCCCGTACCTTTTTCCGCATCCGCCATCCTGCGCGGTCCAGCCTTCTAGCTTTTTCGAGCGAGAGAGATCCGTCTCGCCGCAGATAAAACGCTTCTCACCCTCGTGAACAGTTTTTATGTGCACGTTCAGATTGCCTCTTTTTGTAAAGTTGCGGCCGCAGTTTGGATAATGGCACGGGTAGATTTTGCGCTCTTCGAGCGGGATAGTACCGTGAGTGATTTCGAGATGGCGGCGGAGATCTCGATTGGATGAGCATGTCATGTCGCATTCTGGACAGGTGGGTGGGTGGACGGATTTCATGTGTGCTTGGAGTAAAGCATAAGTTTGGAAGACGGCGTTTGGATGTGGGTTGGTAACCCCGTTCGTTGTTGTCGAGTTTTGTTCGTCAGTTGCGTTAGAGGCACATTCTGTGCAGGCGAACCGAGCACCGCCGTGAAGTCTGCCCTCATGAGAACGCAGATGCCCTGCTGTGTCGAACGCCTGTGTACATTGTTGACCAGTGACTGGATCAAGATGCGGGCAGGGAAAAGGTTTCTTATTCAGATGGGCGGTCAAGATATGTTTTTGGAGGGTCGAGTGTTTGCGGAATGTCTCGTTGCAAGGAGGATATTCTGTACACCTGTATTTATCCCTTCCTTCATGCGCAGCTAGATGTCTTCGTAGCCGTGATCCCGTAACAAATGTCTTGCCGCATCCTTCTCTATCGCAGACATAGTCTCGGATGGCGGTATGCGCGCTCTTCACATGGTGGTTCAGATGGGAAGCTCGTAGAAAGGTCTTCTCGCAACCGTCATACGTGCAATTAAATATTCGCTCATTTGTGTGCGATCTTAGGTGTTCTGTAAGTCGTGCAGGCCGGTTGAAAGCTTTAAGGCATCCATCGTACGGGCAAAGATGAGTTTTGCGATCTGACGGGTATCTGGAGGAGGCAGGAGAGTAAGGTGTGATGGGTGTTGCCTGCTGGTCGCCGTGACTTAGGCAGTAGGAAGATTGAGATTCGGAGTCTGATAGATTGCCATTATCAAATACATCTGCGAAATTGTCAGAAAATTTAGCCATTGTACCTACTGCAATCATGTGCTTACCAGAGCTGTCTGATGGAGCCGATTGTTGTAGTCGCTTGGGCGGTCGCTGGGTTTCTGAAATGGCCTTTCGTTTCTGGGCCATGATTCCATTTCCTCCAAATAGCAGCTATAAAAAAAATGGTTGGAGGGGGTATATATCCTTGCTGACTTGTGGAATATTCCTATCTTTGCCCTTGTGCGGATCAAAATTGCGATTAGGGTATAAAATCTTGGCAAAATATTTAGTTGTAATGTAAGCGCTAAGCGCCATAAGCGAACTTCGCCAAAAATTTAACTTTTTCTTTGCTCCAAGACCCAAAATCAACTTCTCCAGCAGACATTACGTACCGCGCAGGGAATTCGACTCTACCTTGTTTGAAGAGCGTGGGATATATCTTTGCCTTGCGCATTTTTTTTCTCGTTTAAGCGCAATGTCAGACTACGGCGCAGGTGATCATGAGGAACATGATGATGCTGGGTTAGTGGGCCGATGCACCTTCCTGCCACTGGTTGGAAACCGTGCGACGCACGGCAGAGATTTATTGAGGCCCCTGAAACTTCTAGGGCGATGTAACTAATATTTCACTTCTTACAGTTTCGACTATGAGCCTCCCGAGTACGAGTACATTGATAATGAACCTGAAGACTATGTAGAACCAGAGCAGACGGAGCATGGTGAAAACGGATATGCGATAGTGAATGGCGACGGCCAGCCCGTGCAGAATGGCGAGGGGGACGTTGTTTCGGGAGATCCGAATGCAGGCGCATCGAAGGGAAAGGTCATGCTGCAGCAACGGGAGAAAAAGGTTCCAAACGACCAGCGGACGACCACCCCCTACATGACCAAATACGAACGCGCACGAGTGCTAGGCACACGAGCGCTACAAATCAGGTTAGTTTTCATACGATATCTTTATCAGCGTGACGGATTGTCTCCAGCGTACTAACGCGGGTGGACAGCATGAACGCGCCGATCCTTGTTGACTTGGAGGGAGAGACGGATCCTCTTCAAATCGCTCTTAAGGAGCTTGCTCAGAAAAAGATCCCCTTGATTGTTAGGAGGTATCTCCCTGATGGATGGTAAGCTTCGCTCCAATATATATATACGTAGGGACTTATCTAATCATGTATCACCTCAGGTATGAGGATTGGACCTGCGAAGAGTTGCTTTAAGCCTGCAGCTTTTCTTCCTTTTTAAATATGTTAATGTGGATTCTTTTATCATTGTTATTACCGGGTCAATTTTTCGCATAGCGGGAGGTGTTTAGGTCTGCAAGTTGGGTATTTGATTTATCCTCTGGAGTTTAAACTGCTTTTTCAGCAGGGAGAAAAAGTGATGACGAAAATCCAAGGCAGGGAGCTGGATAATTGCCTTTTATAATGTGGATATAGATATTCCATAGACCATGTAATGGTTTTCCTTTCGTTCCAGATATTTCAGCGTCTTAAGGGGCTCGGCTCAACGATGTTATCTTCCATACTTATGGGGAAAATTACTGTGGCTAGCCCAATTCCAAATGACACAAAATGCAGGCTAACCGAAGGGTTTGTGATGCAAGAAGCCATCATTAAGAAGGGCGACCCTGACCCATTGGGGTAGGGATGGCTAACCCCAATCGTATCTCACGTCCATCGTCTCCCAAAGAAATCACAACAGTGGCTATCATCGTATATCCTCACATGGCTCTTGCCTCTTATCGGCTTCCAGAAAAGCACTGGCGCCAGAGTCTTGATATAAATATTGCCTATTTCAAGCTAATCCCGATCTGCAGGTGTTGGTCAAATCGTCTTCATTGCGCTTCGCAACAAAAACCCACATCCGGCAACCCTACTTCGTAGTGAGAACAAAGCTTACTAGTTAAATATTAGGGCAATAAAGATTAAAAATGGTGCGGAAAGCAATTCTACATCCGGGAAACAATCTTGGGGGTATTTTTGTTCTTACCACGAGCTATGTCGACATATTACTTGGTCATTGTTAGCCAGTCACCTCTGCTCTTGGTTCTTTTATACCACTACTTTTATCATGAATATGGGAATATACTAAAACAAAAGGGTTTATTTTCTCCTTTAAATATATGTCCCCTCCCTGTTTGAGGGCCATATCTCTTCATCTTGGCATTCCATTCCTCTCGGCTGGGCTGATGATTATGGAAGGGCTCGTCGGCGACAAAATCCCAAATTGGCCCTGTCTTTCCGTCGACATATTCCTCCTCGTGCTGAGGCGTTGGGGAGAAAGAGGAGTCACATAAGAAGGTATTGTCATTGGCAATAACCAACTTAGCTACGACTACTGCTAAAAAGTATGGCCACAAGTGCTGCCACCTTTCTCTTCTTTCATAGCTGGTATATATGTGATATATGGCTTTTCATATTCCCTTCCTCAGCTCCTGAGATCCTATGTTGAAGTCACGTACCTAACTGGAAACGTACATGATACAGGGGAATTGTGATGGATTATGGCAGTTTCTAGACTCACCATTGAGCAACACCTGTTTGCAGGGCGAGTCACCATTGATAATAATATGGATCGGCTCGATAGAGGATTCTCGACGTCAGCTCTAATAGTTGGGCATACGTATTTTCCCAAATATTGTCCCTGATTAGATTGGCCTCTGAAATAGCACTGTACACATTATCACCGCCTGTGGTAGCCTGGTGATTGCGCGGATTGCGAGAAATATCGCAGCAGGGGTAATCTCTCAATATTTCTGTACGGGTTTATTGCTGGCGGGTTCGTTTCCGTGGGACCTGCTGTGTTTGGCTCAAAGTCACCACCAAATTTATGCGCAACCACGTCCTTATCCTGGTGAAAAAGACAGAATTTATGAGCATTACACCTGATATGCGAGTTTCGACACTGGATTAGGAATGTTGTTTGTTTTTGTTCACTGGTTTCGCGGATGAGTACGAACGCCTATTGGAGGCAGTATTGTCAATGGTGTTGGAAACTTGTGGGTGTGCCACTGCTGGTGAGCATGTCTTTTCTCCTCTCTGCTGAGATCATGGGAGCGGCTCGTTCCTTGCTAACTGGGTAAGCTTTTCACTTGTGTGTGGTGACCCCATCCTGTTGGTTCGGTTTAGGTGGTATATCTAGGTCCGATTAGGTCCGATGCAGCATTCGCAGCTATATATTTACTCTTTAACCTATTCATGAAAATAAGGCATATATAACGCCATAGAGACTGCGTCTGAGATTAAATTATATATTTTTTCGGTGTTAGTTATTGGCAATTGCAAATATCACAATTACACTGTATAGAGATCCGTTATCGCTGTAAATATAAAGGTACGCTCTTGGTCCATAGCACGTCCATTTCTCCGATATCATCCTTAAAATATCAGAATATACGGGCATGCAGTTAATGGCGAAGCTTTATCAGTCTTGGAAAAGGAGTAGTCGCAAATGTTCAATTGCAACCAAACTCCATATGTATATAAACCTATCGAAAAGTCAACTATAGCTAATCATATACACACACGATGATAAGTAATCATCCACTCGACAACTCTCATTTGCGTATGTACTAGATATAATCACCTTGGTTAAAAGGATAAGGTAAGGAGTTATTTGCGGCAAATAATTTCTTCCTAGTAAACATCTTCCGGATTGACTAAAAAGTCCTCTCCGTTTTCACGGGTATGTTTGAGATCTTTGTCCCGACTGAGGGGTTTTCGCATATCGAACGCATCTTCCCCTTCCTCCGACATACCTGTCGGGTCGTCACTGTAATAATTAACCACGCGTCTGAAGACAGAGTATCTGAGAATAATGGTAAAAGATGAAGTTAGCTAGAAGTAATAACGATAAAGATAGAAGCAGCAAGACGGAAAAGGTATAACAACGTACCCCATCCCTTTGTACATCCCCACTGCAATCGTATTGCCAGCCCGCACATATAAATCCACAAACCACGCATCATTTATATCCGACGCCTGTTCCAGGCTTTCTGTCAGTCGTCGCGCATGTCCCAATCTCCGCCAAGCCGGAGCAATTGTTAATACTGTAATGTGGCCATGCCATGGTGTGTAGTGTTCCGAGTGTCTCATTGACGAGTGCTGTGCTTCAAGCTTGCCCATAACTATGTTTTAGGAAAGTAGAAGAGAAAATAGCTGTCAGCAATTTACATGCTCAGGAAATCTAGATACCATGAAATCATGGTAGCAACTGATAGATCCTTCAATCCCCATCTTTCTTTCCATCAGCGGCCCTTTTGTTAGAATATACGTACTATAGCCTATTATTTGGCCATCTCGGTCCTCCACAACGTTGAAGAGCGAGGGCCATTTCATTAAGTAGCTGAGATAAAAATGGAGATCATAGTTTTCTGTGAGCGCATCGAGGTTGGTTAGGTTGAGGGAGAAAAGGTCGACGGGGGTCATGCGCCGGATGGTGGCCATGGTCGATTTGGAGCGCTAGCTTGCGCTGTCTATGCGTCTGCACCGTCGCGTGTAGTATATTTATTTAACGGAAACGGATTTTGAAATGATTGAAGAGCTGCGATGGGAAAACTTGATGCAAGCGGAAATATGGTAGTGGACCGGAATAGCTCGGCGCGATACGGGTATGACCTCGGCCTTAGATATATTGCAAGCTCCTCCGCGCGACAGCCTGTCAATATCAATATAAAAATGCTGAGCGGTTTTTAAAGTGAAACAAACCAAATCTACGGTTAAGTTAATCTCTAAATGATAGTTAAGGTTAGTACTTGGAAGGTGAGTTCGGGCGAAGTCACGGGACCACTCCCAACTCGGCAAAATGACAACAATCGAAAGGAGTCGAGAAACAACTTTTGACGTTGGATAAAAGAATAAATATCCCGCTGTTATTCGGTGCTCTGCGTAGGGTACGACCTGGTGTGTTTCCTGTCACCGTCTTCCATGTGGCACAGGGAACCGCTTTTGGATACACAACGCTTTGACTGGAATCCAGCGATGTCCATTCGTGGAGCTTGTCTCGCTGTTAATGTGCTGGCAGCAATATCAAACTAACCCTTACCTTTAATTCCGGAGCGCCTAGTCCGGGCCCGGCTTGCATGGCTGACAGTGCCTTGGGAAGAAACAAGAAAATAAAAAAAATAACAAATTACGAGAACAGAAAGCGCGATTTTTCTCTACATTTTATATATAAGTAACATCCATTCAATACTCCCTCTCTAAATGCGTGGAACCTGAAGTCCGCCCTCCTGTCACTAGCTGCTACTCCTGTCCCTCCGTGTCCCATTATATCCCATCTTACGTTGCGCCGAAATGTCACCGTCTTCTCCTATGTCGCCGTCTCGAAGGCACGGAAACCCGTCCCACCTAGACCTTTCTTCTGTGTATTCCAAACCTCTGGCACCAAATGGTTTCGGCCACAGTCCTCTACAGTCACCACTGACCCCGAGATACTCCGTTCCTTTATCGCCCATGAGCCCTCATCGACGTAGCTCAGAGGTGATGGATAAATCTGCGAGGTTTTCTGCGGAGTTTACTATCCAGGGTGACTCAGGAGGAGGTGGACTGGGGAACTTGGCAGACGAACTAGCAGATGCATGGGACGAGGACGGAGAAGGTGAAGAAGGCGAAGAAGACTTATCTGGATTCCAGGAACACGATCATGTCCAAATACCTGACGAGGAGGATGCATCGTCCCGGTCGCGGGATACCTCCGAGAGCGATTCAGACGCTGAACCCTTGCGGGACGGAGAGTCGAATCGAAGTAGTTTACAAATTCCGAAGCAGAGATCGAAAACAGGGCAATATCAGAAACACCATCGGCATGAACCTTCGTATGATGGCTCGGATTACGGGAATGACTCGGATTTTGAGGAACCTGGCGACCTTACGCCAGGACTAGAGAAGCAGATGGCGGGGATCGAAAATCTTGTTCGATGGAGCATGGGAGACAATCTACCCTCCGGAAAAATTGTCGACCGAGTTGTCGAAAGCTTGCGGGATCTAGGAGGTCAGAGTGGGATTGAAAATAGCGCTACTAGGTGTGTACATTGTACTAAATACTTCCCCCTATGAATGCGTAGTGTCTGTGGCTGTTATCTGCTCTATACCCGCTTCATTGCTAACAACTCATTCAAGACTGATTACTGCACACGCATCTCTTGCCTCGCATCTAACGTCCCAGATACGTGCGTTACAAACCCTCACTCATCCACTTCTCTTCTCGCGTTTTCCTACCTTATCCTCCGAAGCAATTGAGGACCTCGTCCCTCTAATTGACGACATCCTACCAAATCTCCCTTTTCCTGTGTCCCAATCTCCCCATCCCCCAGAGCCCCAAACTTCCCATGACGATGCCCTCCACTCTCTTCGAGCCCTCCTCTCCCAAACATCTGACCTCACCCACGCCCTTCGTGCTCTCAATGATACCATTCACGAATCCCGCCAGCTTACCTCAGCGGCAGCACGACGGCTGAAGTCCGTACGTGAACTGGTTGCAGAGATGCGTCGGGAAGAAGAGCGGCGAGAGGAGGGGACAAGGTGGATTGAAAAAGGAGAGTGGGACCGGCGATTACAACAACGAGAAGCCGGAAGGGTATGCGGGGATGTGGTGAGTGGGTTTGAAGCTGTTTGTGGAGAATGGAGGGCTCGACTCTTTGGGCCCGAAGTTGCCGCTGCATAATAGATCTATTTGATTTTTTTTCGTTCCCTATTTGCCTCTTGCTTTTATATTTTTCTTGATCTCAACCATTTTAAATTTCCTTTGTTTACTCTTTCTGTTTCCGTTGGTTGCCCATTGGCCATTCCATATATACCCGCATAATGTCACCTCGCAATGGTTACACACATAGACATGCCCTTTGCCCTGTAAAATTGGTTTACTGGAGTCGATACCTTTCATATCCTATCTATTTCCTTATTTTCCATCCCCTTTCACACGCCCTTCACACTCCGCACCCTCTCGAAATAGGATATCTATATAACTATATTGTTGGGAATGACATACTCTAGTATGATGTATCCAAAAATCTGCCATTTATATCAATCAAGGAAGCATAATTACCTTCCATTCTCGCCGCAACTTCATCCAGTCGACAAGATATACACAGCCAGGCTTACGGCGATGACCAAAAATCCCATCCCATTAAATCATCATCACATTCACAATAGGCACCTTAGCCAATGCCTTTCCATCCGCCAACATAGTTTTTCGGTCCAAGTTCGTTCCTAGAATAAGGCATAATTCCTATCCCTGACAACGAGAGCGCAATGAATCCGACCTTGCTGTTCAACGCGGGTGCCGCTTCTACTCACTTTCGCTCCCGCACACTCCCCCCTAAACCCCTCTCCATCCCCGCAGAGCTCTCTGATCCGCTCTCCTAGAGAGTCAGTGACGTTAAAGGAGTATGAAGGCTTCATTCAGTTCCAGGTCGAGAAACGCTGCTTGGTATTTTGTTGCGATAATTCTGCCCAGTTTTGCACATCAACCATTCGTCCCTCGAAGAGAACCCGTATATTTGTGAAATAAAGCAGCCTTGTTGATAGAACCACTTCCTGTTGTATGTCCACCCGCGCGTATCCCGTGCGTCCTAGAGGTCGTCCACAATTTCCCGAACGATATTGGTAATTTGCAAACCAAGAATGTCTTCGCGATCATGGACTGGCTTTCTCTTCCGACGGTTGACGCCGGCGCGATTCCAAAATCCATACCACCCTACTTACTAGGCTGCGATAAGCCCTATCTGTGCCCAAGAGAAAAAATACCATCTATTGCCTCGATCTAATTTTTTTTTTTTTTTTTCCCTTACCTGCATCCTGAATTATGCAAAACTTGTCTACAAACAAATACCTCCGGCCCATCTGAAGGTACACCGTGATTGCATCCGCTATCGTCCTAGGCGTTTTTGATACCAGGAGACTGCCATTTTTCTTCATCCATCAACCGTGGCATATGTATCTGCAAGCAGGGACGATGGTTTTGTGATCCAAAGATTTGACATTCCATCTCCATCGGAGTAACTGACATAGATATCTGCCGAAGGAACCCCCAGTGCCTGGTTTTGTGGGGATCCAAGATGAAGGACAATAAATGTAGCCGGTTGCTATGTGATCCATGTAGGATCGCAAAAATAGATTGAAATTTTCAGTCCGTCTAATCGCAATATAGAAACATGCTGGTACTACTCCATTTGAATTAAGACAGTTTGAGTGAATGGTACGACTGCTGTATTGTTAAACATATGCCTACAGCTGCTGCTCGAGATAAAATGCAGAGCAAAGAAAAAGGGAAATTGAAACACGCGAGATAATAAATAGATAAACACAAACCAGAGAGGGGAAGCGAAAACAAATGCATGACAATTTTTCTGTTCCAATCATTCAACTCTCTTTGCATGAACCAAAAAAGGTGATAGCAACTTCACTTTCCCATCATCTATCCATCTCATCGCGATTATCATCTCACAACGGGGAGTTTCGCCTCGAATTTGAAAACAACGTATAAACCGGGCAAGAGGGCAAAAGAATAAACGGTTAAAATTTGGCCGTTGTTTAATAGACGAGAGGACATACGAAAAATACGAAAAAATACTTAAATATTAAATCATCCCATTTCCCATGGCTCGCAAAACTTTAAAAAAAAGAAAGAAACAGAAAAAAACCAATATGCGAATCATTTCTGAACAAGTTGAAAAATTCAAGAAATTAAATAAACTAAAAAATGGAAATCCCTCTTGCCCTGTCGTGTCATCGGTCGGTAGACCATATCTCCCTCCTACTGTTGTTGTTGTTGCTGCCTGAACTTGGGCCTCCATGCCTGCGTTCCGCTAGCGGGTGGGTTAGAACCCTCGCGACTCTCAGGCGCAGGTGAGGACGGTGCTGGACTTCTGGAGAGTGATTTGGGAGGAGGAACAGCTTCCCGGTTAAACCGTGGAGGCATACGTTCAGGTACTCGCTCCGGCATGCGTTCACCGTTGGCAGAAATATCCCGGCCAGCAACGGCCCGTCGCTGTGGAGGAACATATCCGCCTGTTGTCCGGGGAGGCGGAAGCTCTTCCTTGGCAGCGGGTGCTGCTCCCTCAGTTGGGGGAATTGCAGAGCCGGCCGCGGCCTCCGCCTCCTTTGCAGCCTGACGCTCTCTCCAGGTAGGGCCGGCACGCCCGACGAGGTTAAGCCTGGGAGCAGTGCGCTCCGTAGATTCAGTGCGTTCCATGCGAACGGGAACAGCACCAGCTTTGCGAGCCTTGAGTTTGGCCTCGGCTTCCTCTTCTCGCTTCTTCTGAATCGCGGCTTTCTCATCGAGTATTCTAACAAGGGTATTTATTAGTTAACTGTGCAAAGTTGCAGTCAGACATGACAGCAAAACCATACCTTCGCTCTTCCTCTCTTGCGGCCTTTTCCGCAGCAAGTTGACGGCGCCGTTCCGCATCCCGAGCAGCCTTCTCTTGTTCCTCTCGTTCGATACGCTCCTGCTCCTCTCGTTGGCGTCTCTCCTCCTCTTCCCGTTCCATACGCTCGCGCCGCAAACGTTCCTGAACTTCCTTGATCCGCTGTCTCTTCTTATTCTCGAATTCCCTCTCTGCAGCCTTACGATTCTTTTCAAATTCCACATGTCGTTTCTCTTGAAGGTTCTTTCTGAAATCATTGAAGTATGGTACTAGACGACCTAGACGATGCTTGAGGGCAACATCTTCCTTATGCTTCAGTTTGGCAGCGGCTAGGGTATCCGCTTTGTTCTTCTCATAAACCTCGAGATCAAGCTTCCTTTGTGCTTCGTAGTCTGCAGGCAGGTGCTTAAGCTCCTCCCGACGATACGCTCGCTCCAGGTGGTCAATACGCTTGGCTGTTATTCGGACGCGGTCGTTCAGCTCATTTTTCTCCTTCTCAAGTTGAGCCAACTTGATGTGTCGAAGGCTGTTGCTATCCAATTCGTCCAAGTTGATTTCACTAACATCGATGCCCTTGACTCCGGTCTTCAGCTCCTCAAGTTGTTTCTTCAACTCTTCTTGCCGAATACGGTCTTTCTCGTCCTTCATCCGTTTGCGCTCACGCTCAAGGTGTTCATCATGCAATCTGCGTTTCTCAGCTTCTTGGAGTTGCTGTGTACGAATACGCTTCTGTCTCTCCTCCTCTTGCTGTTTCCTCTGGAGTGATTCTAATGCTGCTTCCTTCTTTTTCTCAATAATAATTCTACGAGACAGAGTATCCTCGTGTTCCTTCGCGGCACCAGCCTTGGCCTTGGCGAAAGCAATTTGCTTGGCTTGGATGCGAGCTTGGTTATATGATGGGTCAACATACATGCAGGTGAGGTGAAGAGTTTTGGCTAAACGCGTAAGTTGAGACCTGGCGATTTCAGCGGGTGTGCTTTGGAGTCTTTGAACGGATCCCACTTCACTTTCAGCGGATCCAGCAGCACTTCCAGGATGCATAGCCTTGGCGGAGGAGAAAATATCGGAATCAAAAGTAAGGACGCCGGAAATATGATCAACACGAATAGCCAAATCACCTTTCTTGCAGCCATTCATGATGAATTTCTCGATCATTGAAGTGGTAACCTGGAATGGTTCTGGGAATTGGGCAAGCTCATGAACAAATTTAACTTCAACAGATTCGTATACCTGGGAGAGTTGTTGGAAAAGTCTTGTGAGGATAACTTGTTGAAGGGGAAGTACGTATTTTTCCATTTCGGGGTCGGCGCCAATTTGAATGAGGATGGGGGAGATTTTTTTGCAAATGGACAGTGGGTGGAAATCGACTTCCAGGATGTTGTACAAGTCCCGGATTTCTGGGCGGCAGCGAGTAAGTAATCCCTTATTCAAAGCATCTTTGAAAAGACCTGCCCGAGTTGGAGCTTGAGGCATGCCAAGAAGATTGGTCAAACGGGTATTCTTGTTCTTCCGCACTTCATCAACATCAACGAGCGCTCCGCGAGAGCGCGAAGTGCTAATGACTGGAATCGACAACGCTGAGAGAAGAACAAAAGAAGCGGTCTTGGTCATCTCAGCCTCGGAGACAACTAAGTTGTCCTTCTTTGAACCTGGTCCTGCACCGGAAGATTGGCGGAGGAGATTATAGTAACGGCTCCAAGCTGCAGCGTGAAAGAGGTAGTTTTCGCTGACCAAGAAGATCCGAGTGAGTTTTTCATAATAATTGGCCATCATGATATTCTTGGCTGGTCGTTTGCTGAGGTTGAGAAGAGTGTGGATATCTTCGACGCTGCGGAAACCCTCTTGCCACAATTCTAATTCAACAGCGACGTTCAGTTGTTGAAAACGGGTATCTAAATGACGCTGCAGAGTTTCTGGATCACTCAGGTTGATGGCGTGCATCTGGCTGGAGTATTTTGCTGCGTTCTGAACATGGTTGCGGAGCAGCTCACACAGACGACGGAACTCAGTCTTGCGAGTGTACTTCAAGCAAAACTGGAAAGCTTGGAGGGCAGTTGCTTGATACATAACCTCCAGACGTGCATTGTTCTTCAAGATCTCAAGAACAGTGCGGTATGTCTCCCACAAGAATTTCAACCATGGTGTAACAATGGCCCGATCGGTTCTATCACGAGATTGCTCACCAGAAACGGTTGCTAGAAGAATAGTCTCAGGCGTCTCGATAGCATCAAGATCTTCGATGTTTGTTGACGGAGCAGCAGATTCGAGGGACGATTGGATCTCATCAGCTTTAGCCTGGGCTTCTGTAACTTTTTGCTCCGCTAATTCAATAAACTTTTTCAAAACCATCTATATTCAAAAAGACACGCAAGTTAGCCGTAAGTGTCCAAAAACCGGTTTTGTTGCCATTTATCGATATCATCAATTCCTTCCCAAGTAGTCGGAAATACTTGAAGTATGTCCTAATAAATAATAAACGGGACATGCAGCAAATACAAAAAAAAGCACCTACCTCAATAGTGCCAACATTGCTATTTTGCGCAATGTTCTTATATTGATAAAGGCCATCCTTTGCGGATTTTCCCTTTCGTAGATCTACACATAATTCGACGAAGAGAATCATAACCGGCTCGAGGCTTGCAATGGGACTGTTGCGTGATCGTTTGGAGGCGACTTGTTCGTGGAGAACCGTCAGCGCAGCCTGCTGCTGGCCAACAGCGATGAGCTCTTCAGCTCGCTATCCAAAAAGAAAGGATTAGTTTTGTAAGCCCCAAATACTCCATCCCCAGATAGGAAATATCTTACCCTGAGAACATTCTCAGGCCGGATATGTGGTGGAGGCGGCATATTGGGCAACCTCCCCGTAAACAGTGGACAAAGGGTGGATTAGGAAGGAAATCTCAAAGCAGTCAATTTGACAAGGGTGTCCTTCTGCTTCCCATAGAGTGACGGGGGACAGGTTCGTGAGTCTCGATAGAGCACACGCGTGCAGAGTATATCGAGGCAGTCAGCTATGCTGTGAAGGGTCCCCCAGAAACGCAGAGGGATTTGGAGTTTCTGTCCGGTGATGGGGTTTAGCTTCTTTTGTGGTTGTGCGAACGAGAAAGAGAAGGCGAAAATTGTGTGGGTTCCAGGCTGCGGCTCCGCTTCCTTACATAAGCGCGGCGCTAGCTTTGTAACTATCACATGACATCACGCTCAAAAGTTCAAAAAGGAACGACGATGAGAGCTTGAATATATATTGTAGGGGAAACTCACGAAGATAGTTTGGAGTGAAAAGGGAATTAGAAATGTCCTATATATCACATTCCTACGGCGATATGCCCGTGCTCATCAAACCACGATATAAAAAAAAATTGTGAAGAAATTGAACATAACTTCACTCGGCGTTCAGAGTTGAAATTGCATAAAGACCAGAACATGTGAGAATACCTCTTCCATCCAAAATGATGCTTTGCAAAAATCCATTCCGGTAGGGGTAATCAGAAGTTTCAGTCCATCGCAATACCAGCTAACCAATGCCGTCCAATAAGTTCGAAAATATACCTCGTTCGCCCAAGTTTGAGAATAAATGGACTCCTTTTAATGTGCAGCATAGGGGAAGAGAGTATGGCCATGGATAGAATTACCATTGATTGGAGGGCTGTTTCAGCAAACGTGATCGGAAGTTGGTTTTCAATGACCGAAACAGCTTATCTCAAATGGGTTCCAGATCGCAGCCTTGTCGTGCTTGCGAACTCCCCTTCACGAAATAATGGTTATTGGACCCGTTCAGTCCTAAGACGGGTCAGCGTCATCCCAATGCATTTATTTGCCAACCAAAGAGTTGATGTCAACTCAAGCGTTTCAATAAGGCTGACTTGATTTTTTTTGGTTGCGGTAACATGGACGATTACGACCATATGCTTTGCTTTGCGCCATGTTGGTGACTGGTGAAAAGACCCAGCATGGAGAAGCAGGGCAACTGTGACGGCGAATTTGACGAAGTATAGAAGTGCCCACTCGCGAAAGCTTCAGATTTCACACAAAAATGACTCCACGCATTCCACTGCACCAAAATGGCAATCGATCAATCGTAGAAGTTTGTCAAAAAAAAAGGATGAAGAAGGAGAGAGCAAGAGAACCACATTTTAAGTCAATTGAAACATGCGGTTTACTAACAATTACCCCGTTTGAATTCTCTGGGCTTGTCTTCTATCTATGTATATATATCCGCCATATCAAATGACGGTTCTAAAACCTCTACTAGCTCCCCGCAAAACGATTGTGGTAGAGCATTCGGCGTCAGCCAACCCTCTGCATGCGCCAATTAATCCCTATCCGCCGGAGTTAGATATATTCAGGGTTAGGGATTGACTAGGGTGTGTTCTGCGCAATAGATGCCATCTTGACGAATCTGTCAATAAGCTGGGATGGCATCGAGAAAACATGCGATTGGAGGCTGAAACCAAAATTTGGAGACATTGATAGAGTGATTCAAATTACCTGCGAAAAGAAAAACACAAATTGTACCGAATCCCATTGCAGAGAAGGAAAAGGCGAGGAATTTGAGAGTCAGGGTAACCGTTTTTGACAACGTTCAATCTCAGAAATAGGTAAAGTATCCATATTGCGCCTCATATCTCAAATAGATGATAATGCAAAAGAGCCTTTTTCTCCAAAGGGTACGCCGTATTCTCTAAATTAATCAATATGGGCAAAATAAAGGAGGGAGAAGTGCGTTCAAAATTGCGAACTTGCGGCCAGGACGTTGAGAATTTTATGAATCATTCATTATATGCCATTCTGCTGCTCAGTTAAGAAATGAAGCAAACAGTCCGTACATCGCACAGAACTGTGAGGGGGTATTAAAACCAAATGATTACTGGGTTGAATTATTGGAGAGTTTAGTTGTAGGAACAGAGTCTATGGATGACGTCAAAATAGACTCGATATACTTTGCAAAGACGCCCAAAGTTATTCAATATCTTGAAGTCATAGAACATTAAAAAAATAGGCAATATAAAGGGCCTTTCTTGCTTTCGCCAAATAAGTATTGATGCTGGCGATGAATTCCCAGGTCCGATCTGGATCGTAGCAAGTGCAGCAGTGAATGTTAAAAGCACGGAAAATTTTTATCCATCGCACTTTGTCATTCCTTCTCCGAAATCTAGTCCATGTTTGCAATTCGCCTTTCAAGCCTCACTATAATGAGTTATTATAATGTGCCTTATATAACCTCTTGAATAAAATATGTTGAATTGAGCATTTTTGACCAACTTTCTTAGTCCCGCCTCAGGGAATCAGCCATCATTCATACGCCAAATATGGGAAAATGGCAGGTATGCTCGCCGTTTGCGCAATAAACACAAAAATCGATCAAATCCCCTTGATTGCCTCCCGAAGACTTGAAAGAAAGAACGCGCCAGAAAGTCAACCACGGGAGTAGGTGTCGTTTTACAAGCTGACAACCTCTCTGTTCTCGAAACCCCTCGAAGGAAACTACACCAAATGCAGAAAGAGGGAGGCTGTCCATGGAAATAATATTTTCGGCTATTCTGCAACTGGCTGGCCGCGGCTGCAGGACATAGGAGGCAGACCAGCCGGTAGCCAATAATAGAGACGGACACTCGCAAAAGGAATTATAAATACCGTTTGAAGAACGGAATGGAATGGGCTTGTCGGTCTGTATTCAAAGAGCAAGGAGGGAAGAAATTCCGAGTCTGAGGTTGAGCTGGTCTGTCATAGTGGCTACATTCTTTGCGTATATATTTAATATGTTAACACTCATGCTTGGCTTTTGTAAAGAGGATATCACTTTGGGGGTTTGGAGTAGGGGAAGTGGCTGGGAGCCATCCACACCATGTCGCAGGCGAAAGGTAGATGAGAAAAGCCAAACGCCCATTCAACTGAGTCTCAGTCCTCAAAATAAGCCCATAGTAGTATTTTTGAACAACAATGATCCTCGCTTGCTCCTCTTCCCAGTCTTCTTTCCCCTTCCACCCCAAGTCAATAATGTTTCAACATTTGACTAGCCTCAGCTTAAGGAAGAAGAAATAACCACGCGGTAACAGCGTGTAATCGGTTAGCCAGCTACCCTGGCTGGCGGGAGCAAAAAGTTGCTGCAAACAAAGGCTCTGATGTACCGTCGCTGTGGAAATAGGTGCGGAGTGACATCTAGCCGGCTTCTTTGCTCCTGTAGGTTTGATTATTAGAATACCAAAATGACAGCCCAGCCGCCGCTAATACAGATCCATACCGACTAATACCCGCTAGGACACGCCAAATATACTAGCTGCTCCACCTCTACCCCCTTTTGGTACCAGCCGTACGAAAATACCCTCCTATCACGTCTTTGTGCTCGCTTCTCCCTCCTGCGAACAACCATCGCCCTCACCACCACAGCCAACACCTGCTACGTCTATCTTCACCACCACCAGCTTGACCATTGTTGCTCGTCTCTGCGGCTCCAGCGACGGGACGGCCATTTTACGTTCTGCCAGAGTATCAACAACTATTCCCATTTTCGAGCCGGCTCTCACCCTATCCTTAACATTCTCTCTGGTTTCTATCTACCCAGGAGCCAGTTCTCCGTCGACGACCCCTTCATTTCGACCGCGCGGGTTCATTTCCTCCAGTCTCCCCGACCCCTCGTCTTCCTAATTCTTCGATACCTCCTAAAAGCCGTCGCAAACTACCTTTTTCAAAGGGTAGTTCGCGCCGTCACTTGCGCACCATGCCGCCTGCGTACGAGCTTCGATCTGGTGGAGACGTAAAGAACAAGAAACAGAACATGGCCGAATTGAAACTACGACGCTTAAATGAGCTCAACATAAGGTTGAAGGAAGACTTAGAACGACCGCGAGTTAAAGTATCTGAGGCTGCCATGTCGTGAGTGTCTCCCCTTGCTTCCGCCCGGAAGCCCTATCAGTCTGGTTATGCGAGTAACTTCCCGCATTTGAGCCTTGGTACCACATGGCTTGTTCAGGATATGGGAAGATACATTGGCTTACTGCTCAAATTCCTTGCTTCTTTTCCGCCATTTTTGCAGACTCATCAACTATTGCAATAATACGAGAGATTTTATGGTGCCTTCTGTGTGGGGTCAGGTAAATGACTTTCCCTTCTCCTTTTTGGTTAACCTAAACCGAAAGCTAGCAAACTGTGCTCAATTATTCAATCATTCACTAACATCAATATCAATCCTCTCTTTGATTTTATAAAGATTGACAAACGCGAAGACCCATATGCGCCCCAACAGTCAGGTGGATGCTGTATGATCATGTAAAAAATGATGGATGGATAACAATCCGAGCGTCCATCCATTTGACGATCATCCAGACTCAGCACCTTTCATTTACACCCGGATATTTTTCGATTACACAATCCCTCTCTAGTTCTTTCATGCAACGACGATCGGATTTCCACCATTCACATGCTCCGATTGCGTACCTCATCATCTCACCGGCATTTTCGCAACCATATTTTCCTTGCAACGAATACGAACCAAAACCACTTTAAGAGACCATGCATGAAATGAATAGCGTGGGCGGCTCATTCTCTTACGTAGTTGGGTTAAGTCATTCCCACAGGGTCGCAAGGACCTTTCTTGCTTCCATGTTTTCACACCGTGCTAAGAGGGGGTTTATTCGTCAACAAAGAATGATTCGTATTTGTGTATGTTGAAAATATGCGCGGTCGCCTTGCTCAAAAATCACTGGACTCAAAAAATACACATTTCCTTTTGTTTTGGCTGGCATCCTGGGCTGGAGACCGTTTATTGGCATTTTTCGTCGGCTCTTCTTTAACGGACAATTCATCTCATTTCTTTTGTCTCCGGTTCTATTTCCATGTTCTCTATTTCATTGGATTATCACAATCCATCTTCTTTTTTTCTCCTTTATTTCTACCTCTTCTTTTTGTCCACTTTAGCAGTTATATCTTCTGTCTCTCATATTCACCATTATTTATCTTTATCTCGATATTTTTCATTTTTCATGGAGGGGATTTTGGCTCTCCTTTGTTACCTTTGTTCGTTGTCCTGGATTATTATCCCCCTCTATTTGTTCTTTTTTCCCCTTCGTTTTCTCTTCTCTTCACTTTTCTTCTTTTTTTGTTTTGATTCTTTTTTTTTTTTTTTACAACCCTTAGGCAGTGAAGTCGTGGATCTGAGTACGACATCGTTCAAATCGTTTCTTGTAAAATAGATTTTGGGACGAAACGGCAGCAAACAGTGAAAGCTAAAATATAAATTTCCCTATCTCCTTCCCTTCAATCCCGTATACCCCCGTTCCTGTCACGAAACATCAGCAGTATCCATTGGACAACTTTTGTCATTTTTCTAAAAGGGATGCCGCTGACGAATGTCGAGTGGAGACTACACAGATTCATAAACACCAGTATCATCCCTCCAGATTTACCTCGCTTGAACTAATTCAGACCAGCCAGCACCCGACTGGCAGCGGGCCGAGCAAACGAAAAAGATTCCGCTCTCGGGTTTCTTCGTCATTTTTCTACAGGAACGAAAGTAGTCCTTCAACCAGACCAAGAAGAATGGTCCGAGGCCTTCATTTTTACCACTCCCTCTCCCTCTCCCTCTCCCTCTCCCTCTGTCTCCCTCTCTCTCTTTCCCTTCTCCTTTCCCATGGTGAAGAGTTCAATTTCCTTCTACAATTGATATTTCTTTTATGAAGGCCGGCTCTTTGTGTCTTCCCACGGCTCCCGCCAGGCAGTGCAGCATTATCCCCCTTGAAATAAGCGTAATGGAAGGGAAAAGCCTGTCAAATATATAAAATACACAACCTATTCCCAAGAATCGGGAATGCCAGCTTACCAGGTTCATCGCGAGCCGCGGGTTGCTTCTTTCAAGAATGCTACATTCACATGGAGTAATTATTATTATTTAACTTCCCGTACCTATATATAGCTTTCCATCAACTTCTGGAACAAATATATGCAATATGGGGGAACCATCGGTGCAGGTATTTCAATACCGCAAGTGCAACAGAACCTTGGAACATGTCCCCTGTAGTTTGCTAGCTGCCTAGAGGTTGCGCTGTGGTGCTGACAGAAAAGGTTGAAAAAAATAAAGAAAGGGAAGAAGGGAAAAGAGATGTATGTACAGCGCAAGAAGAAAAGGTATTGGCATTTAGAGGGGGTAATTGGGAACTGTCAGGCCATCATAGCGGCAGGTATTGATATTATTTCACTACTCCGGGGTCCCCAAGTTCTTAGTCAAAATAAAATAGAGCCAATTCTGCCCATATATCGGCTTTCCGAACCATATGCTATCCATACTCATATTCACCGGCATTATGAACCAATCCGGCCCTTTCGTCTACCAAATCAATATATTCACCCATATAATCATTGAAACACACCAAGGACCCTGGGATTCAGTCCCGTGGAACACATATATATAAAGCTAAATCATAAATAAGGAGGAGATAAGAAAGAATGTCCGACCTAGCCCTAGCCGCACCGACCTCTACTACGGCCCCAACCTCCAATAGCAACAATAATCCGCAACCGAGACAGCATGAGAATGAAGATGAAGCGGAAGAAAAACCAAACCTAAACCAGCAATCCGCCATCCCTCTAGCAGAAGCGCATAAAGCACACATCCACCTACCTCGCGTGACGATAAAGTACTGCACGCAGTGCAAATGGCTGCTCAGGGCGGCATATGTATGCCTCCCTCTCTCTCCCTCTATCGTATCGGCCCCTTCCCCCTTGGATCTAACCGTTGCCACTTCCAAATAATGCAATGACGGTTTTTCTCTAATCCATGCTGTAGTTCGCTCAAGAATTGCTCTCCACGTTTTCCACGGCGCTGGGCGAAGTCTCCCTCGTTCCCGCCACCGGTGGCGTCTTCGTGGTGTCCGTCCTGCATCAGTCCAGTGTCGATTTCACGGATGCGGAAACCGTGATATGGGACCGGAAGATGGAAGGCGGGTTTCCAGGTATGTTTCATTATTATTATTATTATTATTATTATTTTTATCATTTTTGTTTTATGTTAAATTTCTCGGAGGGCGGTTAGTTAGTGGTAGTGGTGGTTTCAGTCGAGGGAGGGAGAGAAAAAAAAAAAAAAAAAAAAAAAGACCCCGGAATCCTCAGTTTTCACTTTCCTAATATCTACAACGCGCACAGAAACAAAGCAACTAAAATCGCTTGTCCGCAACATTGTTGATCCCTCGCGGGATCTAGGACACGTTGACCGTGCCCTTGCACAGAAGAAAGGGGGGGGGAAAGCAGCGGAGGGTGCCGTTGATACAGAGATGGCGATGGCGGCAGTGGTGCAGACGCAAGCACAAGCAGGATCAGCTACGGCTACCACAGCTACCACAGCTACTAATATCTGCAAGGATTGTGAGTGAGAGAAGGTTTAATTATTTTTTTTTTTTTTGGTTTGTGCGGGGCGTGTTCGAATGAGGCGGCGGCCCCTATCCAAATTGCCATTGAAAGGGCGTGATAGATCGATCAATCGAGGGCTTGGAATTGGAGTGAATGAAAGCGTCGAAGAGAATGGCGTCTTCGTATAATGAATCTAATACAATCAATATATACCTCTTCTCTTCTCTTCTCTTCTTTTCTTTTTTTTTTTCAGTAAAAGTATATTGAATGAAGCACCACCTTAGAACGCAGCCATGCCAGTCAGTATTTCTGAATTTTTATTTGAATTTTTTTTCTTTTTCTTTTTCTACTTTGTCTTCCTAAACAATACCAGTATGTCCATATACATGACGAGCCATACCAAAATCACAACTAGGAAGAAAAAAAAAAAAAACAGAGGAGATGAGCGGGCAAACGACCCCCCCCCCCCCCCAAAAAAAATTGAATGTCACAAGGACCGCCAGCATCATTGCATACATTACACGCCGAGACTCGAGGAACATGATATCGACAAATATCCAATATCCAATAATCCAATATCCAATGTCCAATAAAAAGGAAAAGCGTCCGAAGAAGAAGGAAAAGACCGCAGGCTGAATATGAGAAGGAAACAAGAAAGATAAGAAGAGAGGAAAAGAAATAAAGCCGTAATTCATTCATGATCAGATGCAGTGAAAGATAAATATCAGGAGAAAAGCCAGCCAGTCGCCGATCGCCAAACCCCTATTGAAAATGGAGGGGCCAAAGGAGTTGTATCCAAGCACCCCCTTGCTGGAAGTTAAGGTAATGAAACCAAGAAGAGATAAGTATATATAGGAGAGAAGAGAAGTAAAATCAAGAAGAGTCAGCAGCACATGCTGCAAATGCCACGAAGATGCAAAATGAAAAAACAAAAGAAAAAGAGAGAGAGAGAGAGAAAAGAAAAATCAGATTAAGTCTGGCATGATTGACCATCACAATCGCCTCCCAAGACCATTTCAGTTTTTGTTTCCTTCTTTTTTCCTTCTTTCCTTTTTTTTCTTTTCTCTCTTCAGCTAAACCTGGGAACCCCAGCCCCATCCAGCCGCCGTCGCCGCCGTCGCCGCCATCGCCGCGCCTTTCCCGCCCCTGGTATTCCGTCCCTCCATGCCAGAAGAGCCATATGCCACAAATAGGCTAAAAAATGGAAACCACAGAACGCCACCTCCCGCCCCTCCGCCAAAATGAATCCCAGAGCGGACCCGTTATGAAGAAATCCGCTGACAATGTAAGAGACCGGACTCAACCGGGAGCCCAATGCAGGGGAAAAAAGGTATTTTGAATAGGTAACAGGCAGGTGAAGGGAGGGGAATCGATCCTTCACTCCCTATATATGTATATATGTATAAATCGGGGAAATGAAAATAATAGGAGGAATAATCGTATCCTAGAATTATTGACGTCCTCAGTCATGTTCAGCAGAGACGATTTCCCTGTTGCGGCGCCAGAAGGCAAGCCGTAAGCGACTCCGTCGTCGAGGGACAGTCCGGTTGTTGATCCCATTAGTGTCGTGCATATGGTGGTTGGCTGGAGAGAAATTGTGATGTGCGGAATCGGTCGACATGTAGTTATTGGAGGGGGGGTTTGAGTTTGTGATGGTGACACCATTCCCTTGGGCATGGTGGCCGAAGTTTTTGTCGATAAAGGCAGCCATAAAGTGTGGGGTTTTCCCATCCTCGACGTCGCTGTGGAAGGTATGAAGAATGCTTGGGCGCCCAGAGTTCGCCGGATGTGGCACAACCATGGGGCTGGCACGACTGCTGGTCCCCAAATCGCGGTGGTTTTCGGAACGGATGTTGCCGGACGGACCATTTGCTGCATCGCGGTCGAATCCATGGCGCACGCGATCATGTTCATCATCACTACTACTATTTAGACTGCTAAGGCTGCTGGGTTGTGTGGTTGAAGAAATGGGGGTCATAACTGTATTGTTCGTGTCCGTGCTCGTGCTTTGCGTGCGCGTTCCGCTAGTCATGTCGCTTTGGCGATTCACTGTCGTTCCGTTTGAGGCACGGCCTGATGAGCGCTGGAACTGGCGATGACATTGGTAACGCCGGGAATGAGGTGCTTGATTGTCTTCTGCTCCTGGATCAGTATGTCCAGAAGGGTCTGTCGTCGATATTGCAAGGGGACGAGAGCCGCCGCTCGAGCCACGAGAGTCCTTATCAACATCAGAGTGTTCATAGGTTCCACAAGGTTGAACATTGCCAAGGGTTGGTGGTAGGTTCCAGGGGGCAGGCAGGACCCTATGAATATTGACAGCCGACTCATCCAGGGGAGTTTCGCTGAAGTCTTCATTCTTAACATCCGATGAAGGAAGATGTGAATCGGATTGTGCCAATGGTGTTGTTGTACTGCTTTGGATCAATTCTAGTGACATCCTGCTTTGTACCTCTCGATTTATTATCTCCCGCCATATCGACTTGTTCCGTCTTATTTCCACGGTGGTAAATGCCATATCTGGTAGCAGATCGGCCAAATTTTCAAAAAGAGGCAGGGCAAATAATTTTATGAAATCGATTTGACTTCTGGCGAGTTTAGGAACATTTCCAAGTTCCGGAGGGCCACCGAAGAGCGCCGTCTCCATTCCGATGGTCTTCTCCATGTTTCCTTGCTGGGCGAATTCCTCCTGCAAGACATTTGTCCATCGTTTCGCAATGTCCCAAGTGCGGGCCTGCACGAATGTAGCGGTTAGATTATGCGAGTATATCAAAGAGAGAGGTGTAGCGACAAATCACGTACCACGTTGCTAATGTCGGCGCATTTCATCAGTAAGCCACAAAGTAAGGCCCGATTAGTCTCTATTTCATTGTCTGTCCACCGGTCCGTCGAGTCGGTTTCATGGTATTTCTCCCGAAGTTTGCCTAAGCTTTCCATGAACTTGAAATGGACACCCATATCAGTCGCAAGGATGGAGCTGATCATCAATTTACGAAGTTTCATATCCATGACAAATGAGGGCCAATAGGATCGTAGAAGCTGGGAATATGCAGCGCAGTGGAAGGATTCTAGAACGGAAGTATCGTTGTACAGCTGGGCTAGCGGAGCATTCAACCGGACGAGAAATACATTGTTCACACCCGGATGACCAACGTCATGTCCAATGGCTGTGATCAGGAGGGTTAAAGCGTTGGCAGGGGTCAGCAATAATGCCATTGGGCTCACTGCCGAGAGTCGTCTAGTTCCATTCGGGTAAGGGGGTAGGGCCCCGATGCTAACTAGAAGGTGAAAGGTCGATTGTAGGACATCTATAGCGTGGCGGAAATTATGATATAGGACGAAGCTATTGTATGTGACACGAGTGGCAAGCAAGAATGAACGAATTTGCTCTAAAAGTACATGTAAGCTTGCGATCAGAACCATAAACGAACTTGGCTATCGTAGCCAAAAGGAATTTCTACTTACCCGAGGAGATTCGCCAGGGTTCTAATTCCGGCATTTGCAATGCATGTTCTAGAATTACGGTTCCGGCATATACAAGTTCATCCTCTGAAAAATCATGGGCTGAGAAATCCCATTTGCCGATTTCAGCTTCAACGAGTCGTTTTCGTGATGGTAGGACATGAAGATCACTTGGTTCGGGTGAGTATCTTGGCATGTAACGAAGGTTTCCAAGGAAGTATGCAGCATACCTTTCATATTTCTCCAGCTCCTCGCCGGGATCACATATTTGTTTCATTAGTTTAGTTACCCTAGAAATATGTAATTAGTCTTGAGTTAAGTCGTTTATGAGTGAGTTCATTGCTGCGCTAAGAGGGGGGTACTGACATGGTCTCTCGAAGATAGGAGTATAACGGGTGGTCGTTCGTACCAACCCATGAGTGTTTCTTGGGTCTCCCGGCTCCTGTATCCAGCAATTGTTGTTTTTTGGCTGACATAAATATTCTATATGCCTGGACTGTGAGGGTCTCAAGCCTTGACGCAGTTAAAGGGGCTACAAGGACATCGCAAGCCCCCGCCTCCAAGCAACGATATACGCACCCGTTTACCAAGGGCAAACCGGTTACAGTGTTCTCAACTAGGGTTTCATGGTCTTCAGCTTTAGCTTCTATCGATCTTTCACAATCAACGCCTTCCCGTACGAAACGCAACAATGCGACGGGAATGGCAAGGTTCACTTCAGTCTGAAGTCTCAGGTTCGCGGAGAATCTGGCAAGAACCTCTAGCATGCAGAAGTCATCCGATTCTGACGAGAATCGGAGAAACCGGCCAACTTTGTTGTTGGATGTCGATGACGACGTGAGGGGAGCCATAGACCGACTTTGAGATGATTGCTCTAGTGGCTCAGATGAATTGTCGACGGCAATGGAAACAAGGGCGAATAAGGGATTAGATTTAGGTCGACAAGTTGCGTTGAGCTCCGTCAACTGTTCGCCGAATGATTTTCTCGAGTTGGAAAGGTAAACTGTATAAAAGGTAATCAGCCATTAGTTGAAATGTTGAAAATTCGGATGATCTTGATAAAATCCAAACATGTTTTCCCACAGGCGATCATTTACACGCGAGATAAATGAAAGATAGGGAAAAAAAAAACCCACACAGGGGATATGGGGAATATGTTACCTTTCCTGAAAATACCAAGAAAAAGCCGCGTATTGGTGTGGATTTCGTCGTCTTCAGCAGCTGAAGTTTCTAATCCAGTGTATGTTCCTCCAGCAGTCGAGTCAGAATTCCTGACTACCCAACGTTCGTCTTTCACACGGTCGTCGAGGTACACAGCGCAAGCTTCTCCAAGCTCCATGCTTGAAATCGAAAATATAGTGATTTCTCGAAATTAGCCTCTCTCTCATGAAAATCGACCGTGTTATCCAACGAGAAGAAGGGGTAATGGAGCGACGATGTCGGGGGGATCTAGAAAATCGGGGTTCTTGTAAGCGATGGAGGATGTCGAGGCGTGTCGATAACGAAGGTGGACCAGGGAAAACGGAGGATGGATCCCCTGGATAGACTGACGGGAGATATGATATCTGCCCTTTCAACACTGCTGTTGCAATGCCCGAGTCGATCCGGCATAGACTTAGTCTGTCGTGTATGATGATTCTCTAGAAACCGACTTGTGACAACCTCTCACCGAAAGTGTTATACCCCTTCCGTAGTTGAAAAATAAAAGAAAAGAAAAAGAAAAGAAAAAAAAAACCTCCGGCTCTTTCACTGTACCAGAACCACCTTTCCTGCCCTTTTTTTTGCTCCCTTGAATCTCGCCTGCAGAGTCCCAAAATGTCAATTAGGCGAAGAGAAAACCCAGCCGCGCCAGCATCGCCCTCAAAAGAAGCACAACGGGAAGCCGCGCAACATCCAGGTTCCTACCGACGGGACATATATAAGACGCAAACTCGATGGGACCCGGACGACTGAGTAAATATGGGCTTAGAGAAGAAGGGCAGCCAGTCGTTCGTCGTCGGGCAACTGACGGGATACTGGATACTGGATCTGGATCTGGATCTGGATCGGGGTGAGGTGGAATAGCACGGTCGACCCTCTATAACAACATTGTGACGGTGGACGCACTAGAGACGGTAGGGGCGTGAAGGTATTTCGATCGTGGAGTTTCCAAGGCCGGTTCGGAGAAGGGGTGGGAGGGTAACGCAGTCAGGCGCAAAGAGGGTTATTGGGTCGGCGAGATCGAAGTATTATTTTTTTTTTAATTTATTTTTCCCCCTTCCTTCCCACGCACTTGTTGAGGGTTCTGCGAGAGGGAGAGTATTTGGTAGGGGATAATTATACGAGGAGGGCTTTTGTTTCCCTTCCCCCCTTTGAGCAAAGAACAACCTTTTCGGCAGGGCTGGTTTCAGAAGTTGTCGAGGGATTGATTGATCGAGGGTGAGAGAGTGCGATGCGACTTCCCGCTTTCCTTGGTGACAAATAGAGTAAGTAGTAAATGCTGCAATGGAGGCTGCGAAGGGAGATCCGGAGAAGAATCGTGATCGTGATGGCGGGAGAGATATTCAGAGACAGGAGAAACAGTTTCCAGAGCTCTCCAGATCACGCACGCGGTGACAGAGAGGCGGAGGCGGCGAGAGGAGAAGAGAAGCAGATGGGACACATTCCAGAATGGTTCAGGGATTGGAGAGGCTAAAATGGGCCAGAAAGTCAGGGCGATGGTACGCGGTATGGTATGGGAATGTACGGGTATTGGGGCTTATGTACGGTATGTATGGTCTTGTACGGGGGCTAGTAATGGGTTCCCGCTGTCGGGGAGAAATAAATCGGATTTTCAAGGTTTCAACTTCACTGGGAAGTGGACGGACTGAGCATGGCTAAGAATATCCTTGGCCAATCGTCTGGCCGACGGGGACTTTCAATTGGCTGGCCGATCAGCCACTTCGCCCTGGATGACGCGATGTGCCCATGTAACGTACGCCGCCCCAGCGTATTTGGCTGGACTTTGTGTGCGATGATGCTACACAATGTACTCCGTCCGTACCGTACTACCATGTCCCACGAGTAGCTAGATACATACATACATAGATAGAAAGATATAGATATATAGATAGATACATATGTTTTGCTGACTGATCACTGTTGTTTGATTCTCGAAGCATCCCAGTGACTGGCGACTGGCCGTTTCCAGAAGCCTTCCCACATGTCGACAACAATACCTGGCCTGAATCCCTGCCCTTTCCCGCAGCCTGGTTCAATTGCAAACAACAATGATGACCTGTCTCTCTCTCTCTCTCTCTCTCTCCCTAACCCCAACCTTTCCCTCGAATCTATGATCATCCAAAATCATGTTACTTGTTGGAGGGGGGGGGGGGGGGGTGGGTAAGGATGATTGATACTCAACCTGGGGAAAGAAAGCTAAGGTTGGAACCGCTTCTCCCCCCGTGTTGGGGACCGGGACAAGTCAAACGGCGGATCACCCATCCATCACCCAAAGGGCTAGCGAAAAGTTTGAAATGGGAATAGAAGCAGGTTGCTTGGGAACTTGGAAGGGAGCGATCGATGGAGAGAGCGCGCGCGCGAGCGCGCGGTTGTTCAAGTTGGGGGGTTGCCGTCCGTGGCACACACCGTTCATTCACCCATCAGAGTACAGATTAGTCAACTTATAATATCGGATTCCAAATATGTACAGATATATATTCCCCTTCTTTTTCTTGTTCTTTTTTTTGCAACATCCTTGTTTCTGGACCCAGAGATTCCTTCCCCCGGGTGGGTGGCATTTCCAGCAAGAAAATAAAAAGTTCAGACATAAAAATAAAAATAAAAATCAAGAAAATGTTGCAACCTCTTGAAGACAACGAACTATATAGGCTTGGTTGGTTGGGCTTGAAGCAACGCGGTTAACTTAGTTAAACGAACGTTGTTGGGTTTTGCCAAGAACCAACCAACCAACCAACCAACCAGCTAGCTAAGCTGGCTTTCCTGGTTCAAGAAAAACGTTGCCGCTGCCAGAGTTGACCCCCCCCCATCCTGATTCCTATTCCTATTCCTATTGCTGAGGCATCACATTATTAAGTGGATGAGATGAGATGGGGTTCTGGGGACTAAAAACGCGTGCCACCCCCGAGTTGCAAAATAATTCCCCCTCCCCGCCTCGTATTCCTGATTAGCTTGGGGCTAAACTTATTATTGGCGGCCGACCGAGTGAGCTACGGCTCGTCGGCCTGCTGCTGGAGGCTGTCCCTCGTGTCAGAAAGCTACTACTATAACACCGTATGCTGCGGCGGCTAAAATTTTCTGTTCGTCTGAAGAAGATGCAAGGTATACTGCGTAAAAATAAAGTAAAATTATTGAAGTTAATACGAGTCAGTACTTGGTAGTTTGTTAAACTATGACAGAATCTACGACAGTAGTATCTAATAATAACCACCTTCAAGCAACGACAAGAGCACCGAATATGCCCGCGCGCCCACCCAAAACGACGGCCACGTCGGCGTTGCGATGACCGATGGTAATCATGGTTTTTGTGACCGAAACCAGCCATGGTCGCATCAGGCAGTTTCTGGTGGTGCTCATGTGCGGAGTATCTCCTGGGTACCAGTACTTGCGTAGCGCATGCAGAAGCGGCTCAGATGAAACTCGCTTCCCTGCTGGCCTGGTATTGAGCACGCCGTGTCCCCTGACCCCGCCCAGTCTCCTAGTTCTCCTAGCTCGAGGAGTTGGAACTTGGCCGTCTCCCCGTTCCCGCTTCGAAAATACTTCTAGAAGGATTTTCGCTCTTATCCTGGGGCCGAGATATCGAACTGGGCTAACGAAAAATTTCCCCCTCCCCCGAAAAAATCCTTGCTCTCCAGGCGAGAATCGAGAATCGAAAAGCCAAAAAAAGAAGGAAAAGAAAAAGAAAAAAGAAAAAAGAAAAAAACCACACACAAATCAATAAATTGGCGTTAACTAGTTCATAAATTGATTCTTGAGGAGAAGTCGAGACAAATCACTGGTGTAAGTTCAACCTCCGGGCTTTGCTCTCTGGGGGGAGAGCTCCTGTTTGCAGCAACCGACAAATTGAGGATAGTTGCAACTTTCGTCTGTGACAACGGGCGGTCGAAGAACTTTGTCGGGGCAAAAAAAAATAAAAACAAAAATAAAAACAAAAATAAAAATAAAAATAAAGACAAAAACCGGAGAGTTGTTGGCCCGTTTGATGTTCTTTATTTATAACGAGAGCTCAACAAACAAGTATCAGCATTGGGACCACAATCGGCGTCCCTGGCTTCCTGTGTCCAGAGCAGAGCAGGGCAGGGCAGGGTAGAAGAAGTTTTACTTTTGACACATCATGCCTGGATGACGATGGGCCTTGCTCGCTCTGATCCACTCGAGTTGTTGCAACTACTGACGTGGGCATCTTTTTCACCCAGGGGTTTGAGTTGTCGCCATCTCCAGTCTCCAGTCGCTGGACGGGGAATCCGCTCTCGAAAGTATCCAGACCTGCGGAGTAGCTCAAACCAGTCTCGAGTCTCGTGTTTTTTATTTCCTTTCCTCAGAGCTTGCAGCGGTAAAATAACATTTTACCACACTTGTGGGAAGCTTCCCGATCGAAAAGCTTACAACGCTGAGCCCGAACAGAGCAGCGATGGGCCTTCCGACCCCACGCGTCAGCAGCTCTAGGGGAGTCGATTCCAGCTTTCCAGCTTGGCCCCAACCAAAGGGTGGCTGAGTTGGGGGGGGATTCCCGGACTTAGTTCATCGTCGGGCAGTAACTACTCCGTCGGCTTGGTCGAAAAGTCGCTGAGAAAAAGAGAGAGAGAGAGAGATCCACCGAGTGGGGTAAAAAGCAAGGCAGGGAATGTGTTCGGGCTAAAACCGTAGTTTTCGGCCGCTATTCCTGCAAGCGGGGGACCCACGCCTTCTGTGGTCACTGGTCACTGGTCAGGCGGGCTCCGATGCTGGGCCTTCCAGAAGTATTTCGCAGCCCCCCAAACACGTATTGACGGGCGTAATATATACGGCACCAGCGTTGGGTGTACCGGTATGGTAACCTTGCCCAGCCCGGCGTTTTTACCACGCCCACAACGGAACGGAGCCAAGGCACGGCTGCTGCTGTGCACATAAATAAATACATAAGGGAGAGTTTTTTTAAAGTTATTCGCATTGCACAGGATAAGCTCCACGGGCGCCGTTTTTATAGTTTATTTGATTTCCTTTGTCACTTTTGCTGTGCGAGGAAAAGCGCTTGCGGACATGGAACTCCGTTGATTGATTGTGTGGTGTAGCCGGGCCAAGGCTTATACCGAATAAGGAACATCCGCTTAATTGGACATCAACAACAATGCCTGACAAATTGACAAGCAACAAAAAAGCAAAAGCCCCTTCGCTAAGCAAGAGAGTTTATCGCATCCAGCCCGTCCTGGGATGCAAACGAGCGACCCGTGCTTGGTATCGAGTTGTGTATATTATCTTCATAGATGGCGTATTCGGAACCAGAACCAAAAATTGGAGAGTGCTGCAAGGAGTAGAAAGACGATGTCGAGGAACAGCAGAAGAAACGCTCTTCAAGGGGCCAACATTGTGTAGCGTGGATAGCGTGTCTAGCGTGCAGACGAAGCAGCGAAGCAGGGAACCAGCCAGGAAGGGGAGCCAGGAAGCCAGGAAGCCGCTGACCCTGCCAGGCGAGTGAGTCTCCTCGCCCTCGCCATTGGCCGCAGCAGCCATCGCGGAGGGCAATAACAGCGCTGATCAATCGTCGGGATTGAGTTTGGAGTTGGCCCCGCCAAGGCTGGCCGGGCCCGGGGTAAATTACGGTCCAAAGGTCGGAATCGGCGGATTTGGGCTAGTTTCGTGTGGGTTTGCTTTTTCTAGTTTCCTGCCAAGGCGATTCCCGAGCTGGACCGGGAGCAAACCCACGGCAAATTCTGCCTGTTTTGGATTCGCGTGGCATCGGGGGCAGTCCGTGAGGGAAAGACTCAATAATCCCGCAACCAAACAGAACGGTCGTGATTCAAACTTGAACACAACGAACGGGTTCTGTGGGCATAGCATGTTGCAGATTTCAGTTCGTGCGACGATGAACTTCTCCTTCGTTTCCCCGGATTGCTTTTGATCCTGCGTCGATGACCGCACAAAAGTTCCATGTGAGCGGCTTGCTCTCTGGTCAGATTATTCAGATTAGCCAGGAGTCAGTAACTACATTACTAACAACGCCCTCCCTGCAGAATCAGGACTTCTCCCTTGGCCCACCCCCAAAGGACGCATCAATGCATCAATGCATCAATGACTCCGGATCTGTATAGTTTTGCTATTATGCTACAGAAACAAGAGACAAACAAACAGGTGCTGAGATCCTGCTCCCGCTCAACGCAGCCCCAGACAATGAATAATAATTTTCCCAACAACCAAAGACCCCGTCAATGCTCTCCATCGCACCACCCCTAGCCCGTTGGCTAGCTAGTTCCTTTTTTGCCAAAAGCTGGGGTTCCGCTGGGTTGGTTTTCAGTAGTATCATGATGCTAAAGTAGACTGATCCTGTCAAAACCAACAACCCTTTCCCCGTCCGATCCCCCTTTCCACGTGGTCTAACTGCCTGTTTTTCCTCATCCGTACTTCCCCGTTATCTAGTGTATGTTGGGAATGACGTCGCCAGATGTCTCTCGAAAGAGACCAGCGCCCGGCGCCTCTCCCATTGCCCGTCAACACATAGGCCCCGCGGACCTCC